CAAGTTGCTTTGTTTGTTTGTTTATATCCATCTGTACTAGGTGCTTTGATGCCAACTTTGTTTAGTCTCTGGTGCTTGTTTTTCACACTGTGCTATCACTTGTAAGTTTTACACTGATGGTTTGTAGAAGTCTCTTTTTTTATTATTTATAAGTTGCTAAGAAATTCTAAATACCTCTCTTTATGATAATTTCTATGATGCCTTATTATAGCATTTACTTTGAACAGGTTTTCTGTATCTTGTTTATCAGTAATGATTCACGAGGTACAGTGCTATTAAAATCATAAATACAGTACAAGAATTTAGTACATCATACCTTTGCCAATAATTTTAGTAAGACAAATATTTTGATCCAGCTTCTGAAAAAACATTGAACATATATGATGATGTTTTATAACACACTTCCTTATTTGAGTTTATCTCTAGATTGATTATTCAAATAATGAAATGAAGGATGATATGCTAAGAATAATTTTTGCATATTCATCAATTCAAGAAATGTTATCCTAAGAAAATGTTATGAGTAACATATACACTCTTACCTTAATGTTAACATTATGGAGATTAAGCTTGCATATAAAATCGAAACGCCAACCTATGACCAATCGCCCATACAAATGCATCGCTAAATATTTTCCATTCACATTTAGGTTGTGAAAAACATTGCAAGCTTAAAGTCCCTATTGAGAGTCTCTGAAAACCACAATCAATACCATTGAGTGTGTGGTGTATACTACCTTTAACATTATTTCTAAGATTTACAATAACATCTTTTTAGCAAAATGTCCGATTTTCTTCCATATTAATGTGAACAAATATAAACAAACATAGAATGATTCTATTGGTTGAGTCAACAATTTCAGTTATTATGGAGGTTAAGATCGCACTATTTTGATGAACGTACACATGGAATGTGTAAACTTATGGTCCCCTATTCACGGTGTTATAGCATGACGGTTACGTCAAGGCGATTTGCAAAATTTTGCGGTAACGATAACAAAAAATGGCGGATGGGAAAGGCAGCATGTCCTCTTTTTCGCATGTAGGAAATATTCACAGATAAGATTTCCTTTTAAACTAGTTCCATTCGGTGACGTATATATGGATGGTTATAAAGACTGGGTCAAATCTGCCAGGTGGTCTACAAGAAACAGAATATAATCTGTAAACCTACCGACTGAGATATCAAAGTTTATAATATTTGGTCCATTCTCGTGTTGTCTCAGTACATGAGCCACTCAAAATATTAACTGTAAGTATAAGTAAACTGTGTATAACTACTGCAAATTCAAAATACATTATTATGGCTTGAGTAGAACATAGGTGGTTTCCAATGCTCAATTGGCTTTGTATGATCGTATGTAGGTTACATCTATATACCACAAGGTTTTTAGGCAATGTAGACCATGCCCTAACAACAAAAACAAAAATAAACAAATTACTAAATTTTTGTGTAGTTTTGAATTTCAAACTCGACAGTTTTTCTCTTATTTCATGTTATCCCCGGGCATCAATTTGCAAAGGCTACGTTCAAAATATACATTACTGAAAGTATCACCGAATGCGATTTTTACATAAATCGTTCATCCTTTCATTGATACACAGAAATTGAAAATAATGCGCCAACCTTAGTTTTTTCTTCCATCGCGGCCATTTTATTGGATAAATTAGTGAACGTAGCTGTCCAACCTCGTTTTCAGAGGTGGCGTAACCGTCATGCTATAACACCGTGCTATTAACTATTTTCACATCACTGGCCTCTTTTTGTTGCCTGATTGATATAATGCCAATTGATGTAATGGTCCCCAGTTAAACCAGTTGAGAGATGGACAACATTACTGGGAGTCATAACAGTACTCGTTCATGTTCAAGTTCTCACACAAGTGTTTTACACAGTCTGTAGCCAGCTTTTACCAAGGGGTAGGAGCAGTTTTACCAAGGGCAAAGCTTTTGCCTAGGGATGAACTTTTTGACAGTTTTGGCTAAAAAATCATGCGAAGTGCTCAGATTGGTGAGAAACTGCATCATTTTGAAAGAATCTCTTGGGGGAGCAGCAGCTCCCTTTATCTCTCCCCCTCTACCTGGCTAATTTTCACATTTTTTATATTTCTACTATTCAAATTGACCAATCCCCATTCATGTCATTTTAACAGGTCCCTTCATTACTTTACACCAATGTTCATTAATCCCTTGTTTTCTAGTCGTATGTGCTTTTATTATTCAGTTTCACTATCTATTGTTTTGCCATGCCAGTTTTACATGTTTGCATGCTGAGTTTGTTTTATGTAATGTTTTTTGTTCCTTAAATGGTTTACACATTCACTCAGTTGAGTTGGGGTGTTGCCCCATTACTAGTTAATGTTGCCTAGAGTTTGTGACTGTACATACACAAAGTATTTCAAATATATATTTTAGAAAACATTTTATATTTGATTCCCACCCAAGGGTCTTCCACTCACCCATTAACATAAACAAAACATGAACTCTAATAAAAATGCCAACAAGACTGCAAGGGAAACTTAATCTATGAATTGGACTTTGCCATATCACATGTATTAGTCCCGTGATCAGGGAGGGGGTGGAGGGGGGTTGAGAGACGACCCTCTCCCCTAGGCACATTTTCTGTCAACATCCTGCAATTTTTCACCACTTTAGTACTTTTCAAGTGATGTTCGGATGATGCTTTCATTTAATTGCTTGCACTGATGGTTTCTCTTGAAAATTCATGCACATAAGGTGATTTAGTATTTCAACACAGGACCCTGAAAGCGCTATTTGAGCTTGAAGTAGAAGTATTCATAGTATTACTGTTTGTATTATTAATCTCTACGATTTTTCAATAGGCTAACTCAGTCAGTGAATGCAGGATTAAAACACAACACACATGAGTAATTCACCCACCTATGCATGTTATTATTGAAAAACATTGCCATCTTTTACATCACTCCTAAATTATTTTTGTAAACATGCATTTTAAGAGGTTCATTTTTTCAAAAAAAACTCAAAAACAAACTTCATGGAGTTCCTTACATATTTTACTTGATGAAACATGTGTTCAAGTACAATGTAACTTTGCATGAAAAATTGTAAAAAAAATGAGGGACGATAGTGAAAATGACGAATGTATATTGAAAAAGCTTGCTGATGGGTGGATTAAACATGGATTATAAGATAATCCAATTGATCTGGAAACTATTCTTTGAACTTTTCTTGAAGATTATAGATTCGCCTTTCCCAAGCATTTACTTTTTACAGCCAGAAACTACTCACAAAAAAATTATCAACTGTCAAAATTATCAAAAGTCTGTTGCGATACTTTCCCTGCTCCTTTGAAATTTTCAGGTTGGTGTCAACGGGAATCATTATACTTATGGTCATTCAAAACTATGCTGACAATTTTGATTTCGACGCACAGTATAATGCTTTCTGGAGAAAATGATGTATGTCATACATGTTTTAGGTCCAAATATCACGAAACGAGCTTGTTTAGAATATAGAAATCCGGCTTTATAACTATCTATGGCATAAACGCTGCGGTGTACATGTAGTCCAAGTTAACTATGTAACCAAACGATTATTTAAGTGAAAAAATACATACATTCATAATTTTTTAGGTTGGGGTCATCAAACGTTTTAAAAAAGCTCAAAAACAAATTTGTTTATTGAGACTCCGCAAAACTGTAGTTTTAATGATTAGTCTGATTAGTAATTCATAACTTTTTATGAAATAGATTTGAAAATAGATAATAAAATGAATGCAGAATGGTGTACATGTACGAGTAGAAAAGTAGACTCACATCGGTTTCGTTCTTCTCGGACAGTCATTAGTTAACAAATAGTTCATTACATTTCAATGTATTTAGTTCATTGAACGCATTTCGTTTGACTTTCTTTTTAAAATAGATCACGTACAGTAGGTTTTTGGACAGAATAGAGAAACAAATGTCCATGCCAGGCGATGAATGATTAACAAAACGTTTGTAGTCTAGGCAGCACCTGTCAACATTTAAAGCAATACTAGTACTTTAAATAAAAATCGTAATGTTTTTTACAATCCGTTACTAAGAAATGGGGATTGAATTTCAATTATAGAAATTAATGAAGGTGTAGAAATGTCCAAAAATAGAGCAGAAAATGGGCCGCCCATTGTTTAAAATATTTGCCAAATATTTAACAGAACATAGATCACACTACTGACAGCCAAAATAAATAAACTGAAAACTTGACATTTTTCAAAATGTTGCTTTCGTCCTATCTAGCCATCTCTGTACTCCGATGCCTCTTTGATATGAAAAAGGCTTTTCTAGATTCATTTGCCCAGGAGAATAAGTTTAATATTGGGTTAGAAATGTTGACATTTGTTCATTATCATCATTAGCAATACAATCATTTACTGATTACTACATCGCGGTTTAGTATACATAGTAAAAGATACTAGTAAAATCAATTATGGTTACTGTATGTAGGCCCAAGGGTTTTATTCTCATGTTACGGGTAAAATGGACAGTATTTCAAAATATTTAGAAAATGAGCAATATTTGTTCAACTTTGTTTCCCTGATAAGGCATTTTATAGTAACTACTTCATTGGTCACTGATTGGTTCAAAGGGGGCACTGTTTCATTCGTTTAATCTACATAATATTGTAACAATGTTATTTATACTTTTTGAGTTCATACTTTATTTTTCATGATACACATGAATAACAGTAAAAGAACATAATAAAACTAAAAAATAAATTATTCAAAAACTACTAAAATATAATCTATATCAAATTTTTCTACATCCAATTTTTAGATATCAGTTCTTTTTGCTTCAAAATTTATTTGAAACCCAAGATTAACACGTGTCTAGGCAATCAAGTCAATGAATTTTTTCTATCTTTCATATTCTCTTTGAAGCAAAGAATACTGATGGTGCAAATAGCAGACTTTTTAACAACAGATACACATTTGGACCCACCCTGTATGTCTTCATAAGTAAACGTGTATAAATCATATAAATAGCATTACATGAACAAATGTATTATCAACAATGGTGTATAATCACATCAATTGACATCAAAGGCAATGTAAAACAACTAGATATGTGAAGTACTCTACTTCTAAAGCAGCTTTGAAACAATATCATTTAATACAAGGTAGAACCTAAAATTCATGATTTTTGAAACATTGATTTTTGGGTTAATCCCAAGATACAGCTGGATTCGTAAACCTTCCAAACATGCCATAATGACACTTTATTTTCACATATAATGACACTATTTCTGTATGACATATTGTGATTGTATCATGTATTGGCCAACAATTGATTGTCTGGCATTTCAATTCAAATTCTGAATTCATGCCCATTTCCTTTACAAGTGCTTTATTCTTGCTGATTTCTGCGATTATCAATAATGTGGCCATGGGAATATATTGATATTCAATTGTCCAGCCTAGAATTGTGCATCTTTTCACACTGTATAGTACATTCTCATTGATTTCAGTATATTTCCCACTTCATTTTGTACTTTCAAACATTATGAAGTTATAATATCACAACTAATAGATATCTTCACAGTGCATAAACATGTAAAATGTAATAAATACAAGTATCTTGTGTGACTCAAATATGTTTGACGTAAATTAGTCCACAAGTGGGAAGATTTCCTCTAAGGCATCAACTAGTTTCAAAATGTCCAACAAATCCAGATTATATTCACGCTTTAATGATTTGTAGAAATAGTCAGGTGCCTGAAATACAAAAATATTTGATGAAAATATTGTACTATAAGTGGTTATTTTGCCAAATCATTTCATTTGCCTATTGCCTAATTTTTGCAAGGTTTGGAAAATTAACTGTAGGAAATATTATCTTCAAAATGTTATCTAATGGGAAGTTACTTGTCATTAGGAAAATTAAAATTAGGAAAATAATAAAATTTGACCATTCAGCAAATTAACCACTTGGATTCAATATCACTTAATGTGAACACTTTACATTCAAAAATCACATCTTCAGATTATGACAAGAAATAAAATTTGTATGCACCATCTTTAATTTCTCAATATAAAATCAGAGGCCATATATTTCTATCATCTTTCATTGATGTTTTAGCTTCAAGAAATGATTTTCTTAGTGCCCTACAAAGTATTGAATCAAAAGGGTGCAACCTTAAGTTTACAATCCATTCTGACCAAGTAGAAAATTTGGGAAATTATATGATAGTTTTTTCATTTACTAGTCAGAATAACTGAATTATTGGCAACAGGCTAGGAATTTTCTGGAGGAACACTTGGTGTTAAAACACATTTTTGGGTCCCATTTCCTTAATCTATCATAGACTTCTTTGTTATGAAAAGTTGAAATGTGATCACCTGCCAATCAGGTCTAAGTGTCGTTTGAATTAGAAATGTTTTATTAAACACGGTCTCTCACCTCTCCCCTCAAGCCAGCAAGTCTCCCCAACATACGTCCATCAAAACGATCAAACGCAACAGATTGTCTACAATAAACAAACACTTGTTAACATGTATTTTAATTTTAATACTATAATACATGTAGAAGATCAATAAAAATGTTAATCTTCAATTAAATCTTTTGCAGTTTGAATTTATTTTCTAATGATGGCCTATTTGTATTTTTTCATTTAAATAAGAACTTAATTTAAGTACATTAAGTACACATGCTAAACATAGTAAATAAATATACACCAGATGATACTTTACAGAGCAATACCTTTCAAATCCTTTCTCCTTCAACCAGTTCAAAACTTCTGTTTTATCCCATTTAGATGCAGCAGCATTTAGGTCAACTCGTAACCTCCTGAACCCAGTGGCTGATCCTGTAGATGGGGAGGAGCCAGTTGGTGCAAATCCGCTATCCATGATGTCAACGGCAGTGTCTTTCTCTTGAACTACTGCCTCCGCTGAAAGGATTTATAATATATAGTAGCCCAGACAGAATTGTTCAATGGTCACTTTTCACAATGATATGTGTGAATTGTGAAAAGTGACCATTGAACAATTCTGTCCGGGCTACTTTGTACCTCATCTTCAGATTGGCAATTAGCAAGCCTTCAGATGTTTAATTTATGAATGTTTGATGGAATAAGTAGATTATCACATCAGAAAATAACAGCTGAAGATTGAAAATCAGCTTTTCTCAGCCACTGAATAAAACTACTTAGGCTAAATTGTAAGATATTGTATTAATTTTTTATTTAGGCTAGATAAAATGCAAGCATTTTTTTTTAGTTTTGCAATCCTTCTTCATTTTAAATATTTAATTATCTGTCTTCACATACAAAGAAATAGCTTGGAGATTTCAAATTTTGTAACTAGTAGTATTTTGTTGTCATAAGGTATATTGCACTGTTTCAAATTGGAAAATGATATGAACCTTCCCCAGAATTCCAAATCAGCAATCAAAATTTAATATTTCTTATATCTGGTTATTGTTACTGATAAAGTGATGGCTTAAAAAAGTTCCCACACTTACTGTAATCCATTAGCAATAAACTGCACATACTGACATATACTGTATATTAAAATCAAATGAAAAAAACATGTACCTTTTCCTCCCATTTCCTTGTCTATCTGAGAAACCAGCTCTGCATATTTTGGATCAAATGGATATTTTCCACTAAAGTCATAGAAAAGTTTAGTCCCAATCATCATCCCAAGCCAGCCATTAGGCGTATAGCCCTGCTGTACTTTTATAGGCACAGTCTTCTTTCGCAGTTGGAATGTATATTCAGCCTCTGAAAACAATAGGATATAAAACTTGTTAGTTAGGTTTCAGATATCAATGAATTTTGAGTTGAAGAAAAACATGGTGTCTAACATGTGTATTAGTTAATTATCCTTATATCCTGAAAGACTTGAAAATGTCATATATGCCATGTGAAAAAACATCTATCTCAAAATACTGTTTAAAGATGGACACTCACCTGTTCTGCAATTAGGACTGTCTTTGTACTTCTCTGAGAAACACAGTAGTACCATACTGGCCTGCTCTACTGCCTCTGCCATGGCCTCCAGAGTAGACCCACCCATCTGTTCAACATCAATCCATGTTTTGTAACCATTTGCCTGAAATATAGAGGGATTGGTGATATACTTTTTATTTGTCATATCATATTTATCAAGTTACATGTACATAATTTCATGTTATTGGTATTTTTAGACTTCTTAATAGAGATTTGATTATCTACAATGCTCTAGACCTGCACCCAATGTAATTTTATGGTTCCTTTACATTGCATGTGTAGATGTCAATCTTTGACAACACTGGACAACAATATTATCCTAAGCATATGAATTTTTCCCTCAAAGAGGTCAGATGAATCTAGCACTTTTCTATTATTTTTCTTTTTTATTATTCATTCAAATTAAATACCACTCACCTTAAGTCTGTCATTGATCTTCCTAACTATAGCCTTATGGTCCCAATTGTAACTTATCATAATATGGCCCTTCTTTGTAAAATCTGTAACAAAAAATGAAAATGTGAAGAAAAGTTTGAATTACAAAGTCATGTTTATTACATGTACTACAAAAAACGAGAGTAACCTTTTTCGTAAATTTTTGTAATATTTGAGATCATTGTTACAGAGAAACACTTGAATTTGGTGATTTTGAGAGAATTTGAAGATTGCATCAAGTATTTAGTCAGATTATCATATAGGTACATGTAATTCCAGCATGAATCAATTTAAATTATCAAAGCAAAGAATACAGAAATACTGATAAGCCTACCTGCTCCTTCTTTGGCCTTAGGTCGAGCCTGGCTGTCCTCATTAATGACCCACAAAGCACCGAGTGCTGACCTCTTTACATCACTGTTCTCACTTGATTTCAAGATTTCTAAAGTCTCTATACATCCATCAGTTGCTTTGATTTCTCCACGGACATCTTTATCAAATGCCAATGTCCAAAGTGAACGAGCTGCCCAATGTTGTTCTTCCGTATCATTGGATTTAAGCATTAACACAAATTCTTTGATTGCACCACATTCAACGATCTGAAATGATTTTTTCAAGTTTGTTACACTAATCAAGACAAATATGCATTTCCAACACAATGCCTATGGCATTGCAGAAGACAACCATTACTTTGTGTCTAATGAGTCACAAAATTAATATTTAGAATATGCTTTTTAAAACTTTTTAAGATCCACCTGGAACAGTCTAGCCCAGTCTGCCATAGATGTTGAAAGTATCAACCAGTTCAAGAATGAACACAATAGACAGACACTTAGCCAGCCAGATGTACCACTATCATAGCTGATTCTCTAAGCCTATGTCCAGTTAGCATTATATCAACAACCTAATTAGTGAGACACAAGAACACAAAAAGATCTGGATCATATAGGAAACATCCTTCTTCCAGAACTATTGGTATAAAGGTATATAAAACAAAATAAAGTTACAGGCTTCACCATATAAGCTGAGAGTAATTCTGTTTAAACTGTTGAATTAAAATAGTTCATAACTTACCACTTTTTTATTCTTGTCATTGACAGCCAATTTATTGAGCCCCATGGCCAGCTCTCCTGGGCTAAATCCACGGAATCGTCTTGTTGATGATTGTAGTGCAGTCCTTAAACAGTTTACAATAAACTTGATGGAGTCTGCAAATATACAAAGAGCATATTTGAGCAAGGAAAATAGATGTGGATGCCAGTGGGCACAGAAATAGAAGAGTAGAACCATCAAAGCATGAAACTTTAAATGGATGCAGTGATCTCCCCAGGATCAAACCAAATCAGACCAGTTATTTTTCGAGTTATAGTAAAATACGTTTAAATGGGGGCCATTTTTCAAAATGGCCGCCTTCTACAAAAAGTGTCATTAGTACAAAAAGCGTCATTAGACAGTGTGAAATGCTTATAGTATTCACATACCAAATATTGGCAAATATGAACAAAATCGCTCCACTACTTTTCAAATTGCAGCAAAAATCGTAAAATAATGAGTAAAGGCCACCATTTTTCAAGATGGCTGCCATGTGCTTCTTTAATATCTACATTTCTAGCTTTATTAATGTCCTATATAATTTTTTTACATTTAAAACAGATTGCTATTACAGTTTTACATATTGCACCTAAATAACTGTAAAATCGGGACTAAAACACAGGCTGGTATCGAAAGATATGTCCGCTGTGACGGAGCATGCTATTTTTCATAAAAATACTAAGAATGCTTCACGATTTATTTTTTAACTCATATGTTTCGTTATATCAAAGATAATTACTTACTCCATGCAATGGATATATCATTTGCGTGTAACCTCCACTTCTGTTTAAAGTCCAATAACGCTAGGAGTAAAATCTATTGAAAATGGCGCCAGAGTATCAAACTCAAAAATGTACCATTTCTTTTTTAACTTTTTAATGGCATGATATAGTGACACGATAATATTAACATATGTTTTCAGCATAACACTGAATGTATTAATGAGATATTTATGTATTGGGTCTTTTTAATCTTTTTATAAAAAATAATATTAATATTTTTTGTCCGCTGTGACGGAGCATTTTCACAGTTCACATTTGTAACTGCTCCGTCACAGCGGACAAAAAAATTAAACATTATTTTTTATAAACGAATTAAAAAGACCAAATACATCAACATCTCATTTATACCTTTATAGTTATGCTGAAACCATGTGTAAATATTATCGTGTCACTATATCGTGCCATTAGAAAGTTCAACTAGAAATGGTACATTTTGAAGTATGATACTCCGACGCCATTTTCAATAGCTTTTCTTCCAAGCGTAACTGGACTTCAAACAGAAGTGAAAGTTATCCGCAAATGATATATCCATTGCATGGAGTAAGTAATTTTGTATGGTATAACGAAACATATGAGTTTAAAAATAAATCGTGAAGTATTCTAATCTTAGTGTTTTTATGAAAAATAGCATTCTCCGTCACAGCGGAGAAATATTTCAATACCAGCCTGTGTAAAATGGCCACCATTTTTAAGTGAGTGGCCATTTTTGAAAATCGGCTTTTGAGCAGAACTTCTAACCCCATCGGGTATATGTGTACAGAATATGAACAAAATCAGGCCAACGGAATTTGAGTTATTACCCGGACAGACGAACAGACGGACGGAAGTACATACGGACGTCATTTGTTGGACGGAGGCATTCCCTATATCCCTCTGAACTTCGTTCGATGGGATAATGATTAATGATAGCATACAATATAGAATTTACCTTTATTAGCATCTAATGTGTTGAGGTCATCTTCATCTATAATGTAAGCCATAGTGAGGGCAGCCAGGGCTTTGAAGAAGTCATTGTCAGAATTGGTGAATGGCTTGATAACCTTAAACAAAAGTGACATCAGTAGATACTTCATAGTCAAATTTGAATTTGAAATCATTAACAACACTCCTTCGTTTCACTGAAATGATACTGTACTCCGGGTATTGTTCGCGTGCGATTTAATTTCGCTTTGTTCGCGAATGTAGTAAAATCGCGAACATTTATCGTCGCGAAATTTGTCTTTTAAATCCCCGGGAATTTGACCCGGGACTTTTGATATGTTTCATTCAAAAAATATTATTATTATTCAATTTGTGCAATCCGCGAAATGTCATCAACCCAAATCCGCGAAATTAAATAGCCGCGAAATTGCAATTTTGGAAAATCGCGAAATTTTATAGCGTCGAAATTTACCCGGAGTACAGTATCCATAACCTGATTCAAAAAATAATTGCATTTTTCAATCAAAGTCACAAATGTTCTCTTATTTAATTATCTAGATTATTCATAAGACTTTCTTATAGGTTATTGAACAAAATGTTCACCTTATTTGTCATTTGATCAAAAATAAGGTGGCTAATACTTTTTCAAAATGGCTAATATTTTTTTTATAAAATATTCACCATATTTGGCTAATATTTTTCAATACTGATATCTTATCTACATGTTGATCTCCATTAATTAGTCAGATTGCTCATTCATCTTAGCCTACCTTTATCACATATGTTATTCTGCCTACATTACCTTTGAACAGTAGACCATGGCTTGGCTTACCTCAATTCCTTTGTTTTCTTTGAAGACATGTCCAGTCTCAGGTGTGCGTGCAACATTGTGTATAATACTCAAGGAGGCTTTGATCATATAGGTTACATTCTGAAAAGGAAAATTTATTTAATTTTCAAGATGAGGATACACAAGCACAGTTCATTTCTCTATCATGTTTGGTGTACAGTTATAGATGCATAATGGTTATAGTAAGAAAGGGGGGAGGCAATGCTTTTGGCTCCTACCCCCCCCCCCCCTTCCAGCACTAAATTAAATATGAATGAAAGATATTTTGCAATAAAAATATCAATCTCTAAAATGCAAGATATTAAGTTTCATCAGGTTATTCAGTAATATTCTAAATCAAATATTATGTCTATATCTTAATAAAGCACAAAATCATCCAAACCCCCTAGTCTGCCCCCCTCCTCAATCCCAAATTATTTTGCATTATCATGCATTTTTTTTATATATGAGGAAACTTCAAAGCACTTCAAAATGCCAAAATTCCCATTATTTCCATCTGCCATTATGTCATACCTTGCTGCTCAGATTCTCAAGGTATGGTTTGTGAGAGAGATTGGCTAGCAGAAGTTTACATGTACCATCATCAGCCAAAGCCTATTAAACATAAAGTCATGGGATATTATTATTGAGTGTACAATATATGGCTACAACTGCAAATTTAAAAAAGTGTCATCATTTGTCATTCTTGAAAATTATGACAATTTTCATCTTTGTGAGTTTGACACTTTCTACCCATATATATGAAGGAGAGGTTCTTTTAAAACGGGAGTCAACATATGTGACAAAAAACAAAAACTGTCATGTATGGGGAGATTCATAAAACCAATGAAATGCTTTAATTTACATGTACAGTAAACCAGTCTAAGTTGAACACCTTTGGTACCTCTAGGTTTTCCACTTACAGAGGTTCATTTAAAGGTGCAACAACAATAAGTGCAGAGGGGCCATTCAACAATCATGGACAAGTGCCAAAATATATATAAATTTGGTTATTTCTAACATATATTTCTATTATTTCCAAAGAAACCCCCTGGATGAACATTATTTCAGCTGATTAATTCCTCTTGAAACATGGTATATCTTACAAATCTATAAGTGGGACTCCCTCTATAGAAGCTTTGAACTGAATTTACACTTCTTTATGCAGAAATTGATAGTTTATCCATACATTTTAAGAAAATAAGTATGTCAAAGAAGATGTTAAGCCAAATGTTGCCCTGTGGCTCAGAAGAAGTAAAATATTTTGAATTTTCTCTCTACAGGCCTTGTTGCCCCTTTAACATTGAGTCAGTTGGTCTTAGAACTCTGAAAATTTTTCAACTAACAGAGGTGTTCCACTTCTTGAGGTGTTCCACTTCACAGGTTTCATTGTAGTTCTTACCTTTGCCAATGTAGGTACAGCATCTGAGTAATTCCATAGGATATTCATTGTGTAATAACATGGGAACCATACCAGATCACTCTTAAATACACCCACTTGATTGAAATATTTCAACTGCTTTTGGCATTGCACTAAAAAATATTAAATAATCATTCATTTTGACATGGATGAAGTCGTAGGACATAATTTTAATATAATGATATCTTCAAATGTATTTTGAACATTTTATTGAGTGAGCGAGGAATTTGCATGCAGACATTCAGTGTGTCTCAAACATGGTACAATATCTTTGTACATTCATCAAATATTTTTTTCTTACCTGACAGTCCTTCAACAGTTAAAGCTGTTCCAATAGCTAACCTATGAGGGCGGCAAACACTATAAATAGAGCTGATTGTCTTTAGAGATGTCAAACACTCATCATTGTCATAAGTATCACATGATTTCAAGTGCCGCAAAAGTTCTAGAGCAAATGCAGTAATGTCTTCTTCTGAGGATACTTTCAGTATTTTCTTGTTTTCTTCCAATGGAGTATTTCTGTCCAGTTTACCCTTAGGAGTTTGGCCTGTTGGATTAGGAGATTGGTTCTTTGATGCATTGCTCATCATCTTGAGGCCTTAATTTTGGTTATTTCTTTGCATCTGTACTGTACAGTATGTCATTCTGAAAAGTATTTCAAATCAATTAGTTGAATAACATATACAGTAGAACCTGTATATCTGAACACCTGGCTTATCTGAACACCTCCCAATCTGAACACTTTTTTTCGGTCCCATTTTTTCCTCCCATTGACTCCCATTTTAAAAAACCTTGAAATGTGAACACCTCCAAATTTGAACAGTGAACAGTCATATTTGAAAAATTCACCTGTCTAATCTGAACACTTTTCATAAAATTTCTGATGTTTAATACAAAATTGCTCAAATTTTGTCATGATATCAAACCTTTGGGAAATAAACTTGAATGGTCTCTTTCATAATGGGGCTTTCCAGCATGACTAGATTCATTTGGATCAAAATTTCAAACTTCTGGAATGCCATAAAGCTATGTGGTCAAAAGAACTATAAATATTTACTGAGAATGTGTTCACATTTTTTCAGAAACTGGAATATTGCGAATGCAAAAACCTTGAAATGTGAACACCTCCTAATCCGAACGCTTTTATCCGGTCCCAATGGCGTTCGGATTAGACATGTTTTACCTTTAAAAATCTTTATATGGATCAGATACACTATAGTGTATATACATGTCATATGAAAGGGCCTCAGAGACAAATCAATCTATTGATCAAAAGGTAATCCGACAAAAAGTGGTACAAACACCTCTAGGCTAACTGTTACATATTTTTCATATGTAATTTTTATGTTGCTGACCAGAGGCCTTATTCACAAAGCATCGCAATATTTAGTGATTACAATTGCTATGCGATAGCAATGACGTTTGGCGCGGTATTCGCAAAAGTCCGGTGAAGCAAAGCAATTGCAAACACATAGCAAACATGTCCCAATCCCAGGGTCGCAATTCTGTAATACAATTTTGATCATTCATTCTTTCCTAAATGAGTGAGGGAAGCGGCCTGCTTCCCTTGCTCCAATGCCGATGTAACATGAAAAACTGACGTTTAGTCGCCCGGGGATTATTTTCCCACATATTGGTTTTATTTGCTTTATTAAAACTATTATATATTTAAAATAGCACTGTGATCTATTGAGTGTTTAGCCTAGGCTATTTTAGCAAAATAAACTACTGACATAACAATTGTAGACATTTTAGGTAACAGCTAAATTATTGGAAAATTTCATATATAGTTCTCATACAATATAACGACTATATAAAATAATACTATGAATTTGTTGAATTATGATGGTTTATATTTTTTCACCATTTTTAACTCATCATTAGGGGTATCTTCCAAGTTTAAGTTCAGATTACGTGGTACCTAGTCGATACCTTTGAATTAGCTCAGGATTTGACTGTATCAATAGGGTGTTTTCGATAACTGAACAACCTTCAAATCTTTATAATCATCTCCGTCCTCTAGAAACTAGAACAAGCAACAATCACCATCCTAATTGACCTTGATTTGATGTCACTGACAACTGGTTGCAAATGCTAAATCGCTACTAGAAAAAGTAATTTAAAAGATATTTTCATAACCAAAACTTACCTACATTTACAGCACCGTTGAGAGAAGGACAAGATACTTTTCATTCAACAATTTAGTCTACCATATTGAGTTTGTTCTTATTAATCAATATGCGTAACCTCATCTCTAATGGTCCACACTTTAGAGTGTAAATTGACAGTCAAAGATTGCTGCAAATTGCGGAAAGGTAGTACCCTATCGCTAAATATTAGCGATATAATAGCGATTGCTATGGTAAAATAGCGATTTAGCAATCATTAAATTTCATACGTATTGTGAATTAGAAAAATCACTAAAAATTGCCTTGCGATTGCGATAGTGATGCTTTGTGAATAAGGCCTCTGAATAGACCAATGCAAAGAAGGCCATGCAATGTTGACACACCGGGTAATGTTGACACAAGAAATGTGGTAACTTCGACACTCTAAATTGTGGAAAGAAGACATTCCCTATAAAAAGAAGGTCAGAAATCTTCCCATTCTAACGTCACGTCTAAAGATTAAAATTAAAAGTTCCCTTGCCTTGTGAAAATAAAGAAAAAATCATAAAATCGCTGAGGAAATGAAAAACTATTCACAAAAGTAATAGTATACCATGGATGTACCAGGATCCAATAGCTTATCATTGTTCAGCAACATTAACACAAACTAAGTACCTCATTGTTATTGTTTGTAACACTTATCATAGACGTATAAAAGAGTCCAAACTTTCATAGTTCTTTACTGTTTTATTTGCACTGTCCACCATGTTGTTTTCCTAACGATGACCTTTGACCCAGCAGGTTCTTTACCGCTACAAACAATAACAAATAGATTATTCTCGTGTTCTTGAACATCAAAAAATATCTATTCGTCACAGTTTAGTTAAAAGCTAGCAATCACATGGTTAACAGAAGATGCAAACTGTCCTCAAGGCTAAAGGGTCATTTATGAGTTTCACAACAATATTTATAATATCCGCGAAGTAAGAACTATTTTATATCCATCCACTTCTTAGCATTTGTTATCTTTACATATTGTATTACCTTTATTGGGAGATTTCTACAAATATATAATACTTGTTTTATTTTGATTATGATCCTTCGAACACTTTGAAATTTAGTTTGAAATAATGGAGAAGGAAAGTATTATATTTCGTCTCGAAAGTATCTGAAAGTGTTCCTGGGCACTTCCGGTTAAATGTGGACACACACAAAATGTTGAAATCAGCTGCAAGTTTTGTGTTTTTCACCTTACCAAAACGTTTACCTAAGAATTCTTTACATCTGACTAATAAGACGACAATACCAGGAATCACCTTGAAACAAAACCGAACCATGGCGTCGAGTAGTAACCTAGATATAGGTGGAATTTATCCACCAATTCCCACCCCTTTTGATGAAAAAGAAAATATTGCTTATGATAAATTGGAGAAAAACCTATCCATATGGAATAAGGCCCCACTCAAAGGTTTGCTATGATATACTTTATAGATTCTTAATTCAATAAGTTAAACCCATTACAGGATCAGGAGGATTTGCCAAGAGTGGAGGTGACTTTTTGGTATGGATGGGTCGTGCATGCTCTAGAGGCTCTAGAGCTTTCAATTCTATCGGTGTCAAATCTAAAAAATCTGGGAAAAGGGGGGGGGGGCGGTCGCCCGCAACGCCCTCCCGCTTCTGATGCCAGTGCAATATACATCTGTCTTTTTCAATCTGAATTTTCCTGGAGCCATTATTGGGTTTAACTTGGGTTTGTAGAAAAAAACTGGTACCGGGTACTTGGTAGTAAATCCTCCATGCTGGGTTCAAACTTGGTACCGGGAACCTGGTCGAAAAAACCGGGTACCCAAAAAACGAAAATTACGAATATACATGTATAACATAATTAGATCATTAGAAAAGGTGTAAGATTTGTTTTGAATTTACAAAAATGTATGTAACTTCCTTCAAAATTGAGCTAGAAGCTTCAAATAAAAAGCATTTTACCCAAGGTTGAACCCAGCATGGAGGATTTACTACCCAGTACCGCTACCCAGTTTTTTTACAAACCCAGTTTAACTTCTTTGCTAAGTAAAATTTTAAATGTTTGGAACTACTTTGAATTTAAAAATAAGCAATCAAAAAGACTATATTGCAACAGTATATGAAAAAATGGAAACATATGTACTGTAAAACGGGTATTGTTAGCGAGGGGTAATTGTTAGCGATCGTAAGCGATCGCTATAGTTTCGCTAAAAATTCAATTCGCTAAAATAAACCGGGGTTAAAATAGACCGGGCGCTAAAATTTGCAAATTCCCGGGAAACAACATGAATACTAATATTTAAGGAGCTTTTCGTTCAGTGCTCGACGTTCGGTTTGTAATTTGAAAAAGGTAAATATTTTTAAATCGTATGTTTCTTTCATTTTCGCTAATATTTCCCGCACTAAAACCCCCTAAAATTGAAAAATCGCTAAAATTTCCCAGTGTCAAAATTACCCGTTTTACAGTATATTTCAGAAAGTTATTTATAATGTGCATCAACGCTGTGGCCTTTTGTAATTTAGGGAGTTTCAGCCATGTTAATTTTTTCGAAAATAAGATGGCAGAGAAGCATCAAAATATAAGAGGCCGATATGATAGCTAAACTACAAAAGAACTAAAATATACAAAAGTTTGGACATGTATAAATGTTTCTATTTTACATATTCTGTTTTAATATGGTCCTTTAAAGATGCATTATGCCATAGGTTTCTCCCCGAGACAATCAATGATGTCCTATTGTTATTGCTCATATAATATCTCACATACCATGGATATATCTTGAGAATAACTTTTGGGTATATTATTGCCGAAATATCGGAAATAATCAACAGAACAACCAAACTCCAGAATTAAACACAATCGATTCCTCGGCTATCGAGGGGAATCTTCATTGAGTTACACAAACGCCCACAAGCGCCTTGAACCAGACGGCCAATCAGGTTTATGATTAAAAAATTCAACGACAAATCAGATAACAGGAGGACTTTCCCAGAATATTCAAACTTCAGATTGAATTAATTTCTTCGAAAATAATTAGATCGGCCAGCACAATCGCAAAATAAACACTGAAAGAGGGGGATTTGGGACTTCATCTTTGGTAAGTAGATGGGTATATATATGGTGAAACTCAATATGCAAAAAAGTCCAGAGGGGTCTTGATTGTGCTATCCTATGGCATAGTGCCCCTTTAATTGCTTATTTTTTAGATTCAAAGTAGTTCCAAACATTTAAAATTTTACTGTACATGTATGCATTCATGAATTGCAAATTATGGATCGATCGAAATCAATTTTACTCAATAATGTGCGACAGATACTTCACAATAATGTGAAAACATCTACCATCAAAACGATTTCATGAGATGATCTGGCCTTACTTATACGGTATGTATGTTTGCTCCGATCTCATTATTCAAGGAGTAACATCTCAGATACATGAATTAATTACAAGCGCTGGCCAAAATTGCGCTACCATTCCACGTAGTTGGTAGAATATACACAGAAGACAAGTTAAACCTAGTTGCGGAACATAAGACATGTCAGATAAAGAATAAGGCCCGGATAAAGGCGTCTCACTTTTCAGCTTGTCTACAGGTTTCCAGCCAAATCATTTCAGGGATTCATCTGAAATTTTCAGGGATGTTTCTACATATCAACGTCAAGAACTGATTAGTTTTTGGGCATTCTGGGTAAATCTTAAGGTGGCCATTTTGGATTTTCCGTCCTAAAATCTTCACTTTCAAGATTTGTCTACAGGTTTCCAGCCAAACCATTTGAGGGATTCATCTGAAATTTTCAGGGATGTTTCTACATATCAACATCAAGAACTGATTAGTTTTTGGGCATTCTGGGCTGCCATTTTAGATTTTCCATCCTAAAATCTTTCTATCGAGGCTTGTCTACAGGTTTCAAGCCAAACCGTTCAAATTTTTACATATGTTACACAGTGATAAGTTCTAGAGCTTATTAACTTTTCTGCGGCCATCTTGCTTTCTTGGTCAACAAGACCACAATGCTGTGTTTTAGGTACGATATCATGTTGTATTGATGTTCAAATGTGGCAGATCACAAAAACTTTACTTCTGGTATTGAGATCCAAACCTAAACCTGAAATAAAATCTCATTATTTCCATTCAAGCATTTTAACTGAATTACATTTGCATTATATGTGATCTGTAAGCATTAGTGGTACTATTAGGTATATTAGGACAGTTATTGCAATGCTTTTTGTGTTAAGTATGCCACTGTTTTTCTAGGGTACGTTGTTCAGGGTTCCAATGGCGAATATACATTCCTGACTGCAGAAGAGCGGGTTGAGATGGTGAAGAAAGTTAGGGAGATGATACCTAAGGACAAACTTATCTTAGCAGGCTCAGGCTGTGAATGTAAGTAGTGAGCTCTGGTCTGATATCAATATCATATAGTTTGGAACTACTAGTATTCTATTGTTATGATATAACAGATTAAACGGGATAAAAATTAAATGGAAAACAAAAACGCAGTTTTAGTGTATAACCTCATATACAGTCCATATGCTATAAGTTTAATATGTAAGTGGAAGATTATGTTACAATACTATTGACCTATCTGGGTTTTAATTAATCATGTTGAAATTATTTATTGGATTCAATGGAAACTAAAATTTTACAGTGCTTTTTCTCTGAACCACCTCTTTGCAGTTATGAGGTAACTTCTTGCTTATTTTTCAACCATATTTTTTTTTACTTTTTCAACACAAAATAGATTAGGATGTATGTTATGTATAGGTTTAAATTATTACTTAAACTTACTTACAGTACTTACAATATATGTGCTTAACAAAATTGTATTTGAAATAAATTCATAATTTTTCAACTTTCTGAAATTAAACAGTATGGGGCCTTTAAAGCTCTAGTTCTGCCTTTAACATCATATAATGAGCCAATTAACCTATCTGCAAATCTAAATTAAATCTAGGTTTATCATTTCTTGTAAACAATTTTTGTTGTTACTATAGCAACTCGAGATACTATTGTGATGTCAGAGAAGATGGCTGAAGCTGGTGCAGATGCAGTTCTGGTGGTGACACCTTGTTATTTTAAGAATGCTATGACAAATGCTGCCCTGATCAATCACTATACAAAGGTGAGATTCAAAAAAAAAGGTGAGATTCATTTTGTCGATAAGCTCTTGATAATATTTTGCCTCTTAATGTAATTTTGGATGATCTTTACAATCATTCATAAGACTAACATGTTAGTCTGAGAAAATCTATGGATATGAGTTTAGGGGGTGCATATATTATGAAATATATATTATATATACACCCTGTATATGAAGTCTAATAGTTATATTAAGTCTTCCATCCATTGTCTGCTGTTCCAGCCTTTTGGTTGAGTAATGTGAGGGGTTGATAGTAAATGTAGATGGGAACCACAGGGGCTTGGTGCAAAACTAGGTCCTGTGAATAAAATAAAAGCATTTTTTGCCATAGTTAACAAGCATGTTCGTCTTAGGCGGGTACTAAATGTGATTATATAGAAATGTAAAGGAAAAATGAAAATGGGTAATGGGATTTTGAATAGTGTTCCTCATGGAAGTGTTCCACTTACAGAGGTGTTTCACTTGACATGGTTCACTGTATTTTGTCTAAAACCTGAATGCATATATTGTTATTTTTCAGCTAGCTGATGCGTGTCCAGTGCCTGTTATACTGTATAGCGTCCCAGCAAACACGGGGATCGATATGGCCCCTGAGGTTGTGATACAACTATCTAGTCATCCTAATATCATAGGCTTGAAAGACAGCGGTGGTGATGTAAGATTATAATTGTTTTTTTTTTTATATTTATTTGGGTGTTATGATATAAGAGGAAACCTTTTGTTTGTAATTCCAGTTACAATGATAATTTTTCTCATTACCTTCAAACCTCTGTAATGTTGTATTAGTACAAGAGGCAACATAAGAAATATAATCCTCTGAAAAACAAAAGAATGTGAAACCAACTAGTAGAGCTAGCCCTAAAACGTGTGTAAGCAGTCACATGCATTTTCAGATTGGTAAAATAGGAAACATGGTCTTCAAGACAAAGGCAAACAATTTCCAGATTCTTGCTGGCTCTGCAGGCTTCCTTTACCCTGGCTATGCAGTAGGTGAGAGATATATAGTTGACCGAAGTCTTGATACATTGTATAGGATGGGTTCGGAGAGGTAGTTAGGGTTAGTTATTAAAGGAAAAGGTCATAAACAATATGTGGATGAATAAGGGATCATTGAATGAAGGGGAGTTATCTTACTAAAGACAATAAGAGAATGTTAAAGAATTCAGGGGATAGAGATGAATTAGCCTTTTCCTAATGTGGTAATGACTAATGAGGGGGCCACTGACTTAGGGAGAGGGTCATGAACAATACAATAAAACCTGTAATGTGAAACACCTTAGTAAATGGAACACTTCAGAGTCCCATGATCTATTGACTAAATGTTTACTGAACCTCTGTAACACTTTTGATTAGAGGCACACAAGGTGTTCCATGTATACAGGTTTTGCTGTTTTAGGAAAAAAGGAAACATTGAAACAAAATCTTTAAAATAAGTAAAATCTGTTAAGTAGAACATCTCTGTATTTTAAGAAACAAAGGGTGTGTACTTCATGTACTTACATAGGTTTATCTGTAAAACTATTTAATTGATTGTTGCAGGCTGTGTAGGTGGAGTGTGTGCCTTGGCCAATGTTCTCCCAAATGAAGTATGTGAAATAGATAGGCTCTTCAAGGCAGGTGACCACAAGGCAGCTCAAGACCTACAACACAGACTCATTGCACCTAATGCTGCTGTAAGTCACACTGATACATAGTACCTTAAATATAACTCTTATTTTTATTTTGAAAGAATTTGGTTATCAAAATTGTGTTTTTAAGTCACAAACGCATTATTACTGCCTTGATTGTTTCTTAACATCATTTGTAAAAAGAATTCAGAAAGCAGTGTAAATCTGTACTATTTGAGGCAGGTTCTCATTGTACTCTGTAGGCCAATCACCCATGGTATTATTGTTTTCTATCATAGAGCAGCAGATAATAATACAAACATGTTTCATTGTAAGATATGTATAGCCTCATTTTGTACTTTCAGATAACAAAGAAATTTGGTGTTCCCGGGTTAAAGGCTTCCATGGAGAGATTCGGGTTCTACGGGGGACCTCCTAGATCTCCCCTCTTACCAGCCACCCCAGAGGACACTGAGAAGCTACTTGGGGATTTCAGATATAGTGAATTCCTTTAAATAGTGTACATGAACTGTATACAGTATAATGCATAGCCGATAGATATGGCTTAAATTGAAACAACTTTCCAGTCATTTACATAAAAATAAACTTATACCTATGCATTAAACTGTACTATACATACGTATTGCGTACACTATTAGGTAATCTCAAATAGAGATTATTTTTATACTGGGAAATGTGAACGGGAAATATGAGCTTTAAAAGTTTGATAAAAAATATTTTCATCTATTTATCAGGTTTTATTGGTTGTAACAGCTGATATGTATCTTTTGAAAGACCCATTGTTCTTCATTAAAATGAAAATCATTAAAAAAAATTAAAAAATGTATTTGATACATGTACATGAGGTATGATTATGAACGTTCTTAAAGAGTGTAGAAGGGAGAGTTTAAAGTAAAAGTGCTCTATTTTTTAATGAATCCAATAAAACGAGTTGAAACATTAGGTTGCTTCTAACATTTTACACTCTATCAATTTTACTTCCTTCACGTTACAACCCACCGAAATCATGTGATATGTTCACCTTTCTCTAAGATAACTAAGTACATATACCTCGTCAGTGTCTTCACAAAATAATGAAATAAAAAACGACGTGCAATTGAAAATTTACACGGCAGCATTAACTTCATTGTTAAAATTAGTTAAAATTCTACATGGTACAATTTTATAACATGTGATGATATGTTTTTATGTATCTATTTTTGATGAATATAATTCTGATATAAAATGTTGTCTATTTATTTATTTATTTATTTATTCATTTATTCATGGGAGTTCCAGAAAAAGCACAGGATGAACGTTTTATTTATGCTTAGAATGAAGAAAATGATGTTTATATCCGCTCGCCCATCGTCCTTTATTTGAAATAGGGCTATTTCTACTAAATCATGAGGTTCTAATTTGAACCAACAATTAATTTTCTTCAACGTAAACGCCCATTGGTTTGATTAATGTCCAGCCGGAGTATTATGGAGAAACTCCGACAGTACAAATACAAATACCTCATTACTTGTACTAATAGTAGAAAATGATAACTTTAGAGCAGGGGTATACGAGGGGTGTCTATAATATTTTTTGAAGATCTTGAGAAAATATTGAGCACTATTTACCCCATGTCCATTGTTGGATCCCCGGTGGGATCCACAGGCAGTACTATCCCGTCTTTCAAAGCTTTGGATAAAGAGACTGGTAAATCAGAATATCCTCTGTTTGTGATTTAGAATTAGTAGATTTCACACAGAGTACGGTGACTTGAATTCTTGGCCCCATGGATTGTCCGTCCCAGCTTTATATCACATTCTACATGGCCCGAATACGTGTCAGAACCGTAAAAATGCATGATTTTGATAGAATATATGGCCGAACAAATTCAAAGCGAGATGAATGATGGAAATGAAAATATTCGGCAAGTATTCTCAACTTCTCGAGAAACGTCTCTTTCGGCTCCAAAAGTCGCCTTTTCACTAAATCTCTCGAAAATTTAAGTTATCTTTGGATTTTCTTAACAATATTTTTTGCTCTCATCATCTCATGTCATGTCTAATTTTCTAAGATATCCTGCTGCGGCTCTGATTTTATTTCAGATTATCCCTTTAATTTATAAGAATAACTGGCCAAAAATCTTCGGTAACTTCCGTATTTGATCAGATATCCCACTTCAGAAAAATAGGATATTGATTTGCAGGGGAAATACAAGTATTCATCCCACGATTAATGTGTTATCTGTACAGTAACAGCTATTGATATTTCTTATATTATTGAAATCCGTGTGATATTTTCCAGAAAATCGTTTATCAAACTCATATGCGTGTGATATCGTTTATCTCACGCATATCCGTGTGATATCACATTACATTTGCATTTCGCGCCACAATATTGTTGGAAATTAGGTCAGATATTTTATTAATATTAATTTAATTTTTATCAATAATTTATTAATTTAGTCACAATAGTCACAATAATATTAACTGTTATAAAGCTGACATAAAACTGACAAAAAACAATGTTTACATGTTCATTTTATTTACTTTTAATTGTTAAAATAAAGTGTTTCAAATATTCAATTGATATTATAATTTCTAGTTTAGATTGTCTGCCAATGTCCTGGAAATTGGATCAGAACAACATCGCAAGGTGATTGTAATCATGGGATAAACCCAATATCACATAATTTCTCGTGATATCGTTTTATCGCCTCGTAGATATCAAATATCAACACTCATTCGCTAAATGATATCACTCAAAATGATGTGATATTCTGTATATACATGCCGAGCCAAAATATGTTCAAATTTGGTATTAGGGCGATGTGTACTTTTTGGAATCTTTATGCAGTCCTCTTTAGAGTCGCATGTTATTTTCAGGAATACATAGGCTAGCTCATTTAATATACGATGTACACCTTCCACATTTGCACAAATAGTGCTCCAAGATACCCAGAAAAGAAATAATGTTACGTATGCCATCAATTACAATAGTTGTTCCTGGCACAATCGTGAGTATATTATTAACTTGCACAAGGATCTTGGAGTTGCACTTTTATATTAGCTAGAATGCATTGTATCATTATGTAAGCAAGATGCAAGATGCTGATAAAATAAACTCGACGGGCGTATAGAATATAGATGTTTCTCCACGCGTGTTAAATAATGTCTGAACGTCCGCTATTGAACATTTTAACGCCGTTAGTTAACGCCTGTATTTGTTTTAACGCGTATAGAATTCACTTCTTAACGAGCGTAATTAACGTCTACACGGGTGTAAATTACGTTAGCATGGGCGTAACTTTACGTCTGCACGGGCGTAATTAACGCCTACACATCCGTAAACAACGCGTGCATACATAGGGTAGGTTGGCAAACCATACGGGATTGCGTCTAACGTTTCGCCGTACCTACTCATTGAGTAGTACTCAACCGGGGTACTCGAGAGACACGCAGTACCCTCCAGTATCTCCTACTATTTCATAAAAATTATTTTGTTATAGCCTAATAAACATAACATTTGTTTTTGAACGTAACTGATTTAAGTTTCCTTTGATACATCTTTTCATTTCTTTCTTTAGTATTGACGTTTGATGATGGGATTAACGATTTTACTGAAGTCTATCAGTCCATTGTATTAGCTGATTCCATAGCCTGGGCGATAATCCAACGCGAACAACTAAGCAATACATTGTCGCAGACATTGCATAATAACAATGAACATTATTGAATTATATATAATATTTTTCATTGAAGAACTGCGGTAGTGAAATCTCTATTCAATGAAATCTGATAGACTTTGTTACCTGTGTCACGTGACCATACCTGGTTGCCAAGTCGGTTGTTATGTGACGCTTTATAATGGCAAAGAGTACACATGTACAGAAATGTAGAATATGATATTTGAAGTTCGGTTTTGAGGATAATTAATATGATAACTAAGCATTCAGGACATAATTAGGACGAGAATCAAGATGACAGACTATTTAGGTAAATATGAAAGTTTGATAAAGTTTGAAACTTTGAAACACTTCTCAAAAGTTTTAGAAAGTTTTCACAACAATCATTACGACCAGAATCTGTTCCAGATAGCCTAATACCTTGACAATATAATTTTTATATTCATTAAAGTAAAACGTTAATTAAATAAGCTGATAGAACTTGAAACTAACCAAATAATTAGACAAACTACAAAGAACAAGATGCACTGAAATACTTCATACAGAGAGTTCTGAAGTCCGCCATGCACCAGTCAAGTCAAATTTAGAAAAGTCAACATGTCTCTCAATAACTCAAGAGTCACTTGAAAAGCGACTCAGTCAACATACAGTTCTTTCAGACGCTCAGTTCACAATACAGTATACACAGTTCTTCGTTGAAATGTAAAATAACGTACTATAATATAAAAAACAACCAATGATTCAGTCAGTCGGCAGCGGTCCGTCCACTAGGATGTCCCATCTCTTGAAGGAGATGTACCATAGCCATGAATATACAAGGCCTTGGAATACAATGATATACGTATTAGTAGAAAGCAATGTTTTTTAGTAACAAAATCGTATTTTATTGTTTTTATGAATATGTACCAATCCATTAGTTTCGTGTCCATATATTAAAACTCAAATATTGCCCTTGCGTATACAATAACCTCGCGATTTTAAAATAACCCATCAAACTTGGAAACTTAGATTTCATAGCGTAAACTTAGACCTCTCACAGATTTGTGTTGAACTGACACCTCTTACTGCGTTACACAGCAGCAATTATATTCACGTTTGTTCATCGGTTCGATTAAAACAAGTGCTATTATCTTAACATGATAACACTTTCAATACATGATAACAATATTATCTTAAAGTGTGCGCCTGACCCGGCTACGTATAGCACAGAGTTTATACTGGCGGATTAGACTAGTTCATTTTTTATATGTGTGTGAAAGCTTTCTCTTATTTGCGTTTTTTCGTTTAGTACGGTTTTGTTATAATTGCCGAGGTCATATAACCGGGATAAAACAATGATTATCGTTGACTGCCCACACACAAAACATACGTTGAGTGAACAGTGTTATTACAAACAACAGGCTTTAGAATACAAAGCGTAGTGTGATAATAAGCTGTACACTACCACTGCTGCATGTACATATTACTAATTTACTAGGGCTCCCAAAGAGTGGATAGGGAGGTTGTGTTTGTCACTTTTAAATTTTACATTTCAAAATTGTCATTTTACATGTCATAATTTGTTGGTTTCATTTGTTTAGCCAATCAAAACATTGTTAAACAATAAATTGTCTGTTACGTACAATCAATTTTGTTCAGTTTTGATTAGTTGTCAGAATAAAGTTACGTTCATCTGAATTCATGTATCAAAACAAAAATCCTATTTTCACTTCAAAATTCTTCAGTGAGATGAAGGCTCGGAATTGTCACATGCAATAACTTATTGTCGTATTCGTTATTTTATCTTCTCGATAGTAGCATTTAGTCGCACATTTGATGCCAGGTCACCTTGTCGCGTACCTCTTGGGGAACCCCACATTTATGTGTGTACTCATGGAAGTAAAAACCCCGGTGTAGCCGAGAGCCACAAACTTTTCAACAGGTTCGAAATGACCAATTTCTCTCATATATACTCTAAATATTTTATTATTTAGCACCTACAAAGTATTGCTAATAACCATATGTAATTTCAATAAGGAAACTTTTCTGGCTACATATAAATTCAATATCAACACTAGCTGTTCTCTCAACACGTCCTGGCTTACCTTGTGGTGACAAACCCTGGATTTTCGCTATTTATAGTTTATCAACACCTGGACGCATGCGCATTTTATAGTTAATCGGGCACTTTAACATGAGAACTCCATTTTCATAACATGACAAGATTAGGTATATCTTACCATTGTTTATTTAATTCAATCTTAATAAATCAATCAATGACAATACTAATCTAGTAACTCTAGTAGTCTTGCATTAAGCCTCTGGACCCCCCCCCCTCAATCTACTTCTAACCAAATGGGGAGGGGGGCGTAAGGCGTTGAAGCAAGACTATCAATCAAGAAAAAGTCCAAAGACCGCGGACGGCATGTGACTTGTCACTATCCCTTTTTATATAAAATAGACAAATGGCCTTCTTGCTAAGTGCACGATACCTATACGCCGAAAATCCCTTGTCGTCTGACACAGTACTGTATAAACATTATTCTTCCTACTTCTAAATTTTATATAATGTCATATCCGTGAATGTGATTAAATATTCATGGGTATACGAGAGTAATACATAAAACAAGAATTCATTAATAAACTGAAAGTATGATTGCGATTGGAAATCTACATGTATATGACACGATACAATGTCTATGACTTGGGGGTATTGGATTCATTAACTAAAGTACATATCCATTGTCATGAATTATAATGCCGTCTGCCTCGCATGATAGAATTTTACAGGAAACATTCCTGTATAATCATATAAATGTACATGGTAAATATTGATTGAAATGCGAGTGCATTTCATTGGTTACGTAACATTAGGATAATGAGAACACACTAAGAGATATATATGAGAAAAACAAGTTCTAAAAATCATAGAAAATCAGTTTTATAATACATTTATTTATTTCATGACTTCTAAATTGAAAAAAAAACAATGATAGTCGTCCTTTGAAAAGTTATTTCATAATTAGTCTTGCTTAAAAGACCCTGTTACCCCCCCCCCCCTTTATCCTTCTCTCTCTGTATATTGCCAGGTAAAGAGAGTGAAGGTGACGGGGGGGGGGTACAGTCTTTGAGCAAGACTATTTCATAATTCAATTTCCATTCGATAAATCAGCTTTCTTTCAAACTATAAATTGGAATGCCTTTGGCACGACCTGTATATTGGCACCAGTATATCAAATTCGATTATCTTTTGTCATTTTAAAATTAATATCTGATATTTTACTTTTATTTTATTTCATTTGGCATTCATCAACAGAGGGAACTTTAATCATAGAATAATATCAAAACACAGCGTTGCCAAGGACTGTTATGAAGAATAGTTCTGGTAATAAATAAAATATACCTTTCCATATTTGGCGTTCAATTTGACTTCTGGCATCATGATGAATGACCAAATTTTATGTTTTACATACCAGTATTTCAGTTTTATTTTTAACAATTTTAATATTTAGAAATAAGTAAGGGGGGTATCCTGCACGTCTCAAAGACCTAGAAGGACGAAGAGTTACCGAGGATGACAACCGAAAACAACAGACCAAATATGAGTGCAGATGACAATGAACGACATGCCAAAAAGAAAGCAGACGTTGAATCGAGTAAAAATGAAACAAATGAACTAAATGATGATTCGAATGAAAATACAAAATCAGTCGATCAGACTCCTGTGAATGCCAGGGCAAATGATAATGAGAGTAATCGTAATGAAAATCAAGTGAATACCCAAGCTGATGAAATTCTTGAAGATGAAGATGAAAAACAATTGAGTTCTGATACCGAACACGATGATACGCACAATGTCCAAAAGAATAGTAAAAATAATAGTAATAACTACGATAACAACGATGAGCTTAGCACTAAGAACGACGAGACCAAATCAAAAAGTAATTCAAAGAGTGAGAGCAACTCAAAAGAGTATAAAACAGCTGAAAACAAATCAAACAACGAAAATGATCACGGGGATACAAAACAATCAAGTAAAAATAACAGACGAAAGAAATCTTCGAAATCAGGGAGACCAATTCAAGATCAGAAAAGACCAGGTGAATTATCTGGAAGTCCCTACGCAAGCATGCAATCTCTAGCTTCTGGTGATGCAAGACCAAAGTCGTCCAGTTCAAAAAGGCAACGCAAAAAGCAATCGATGTCAAGTCAATCCGGTCAGAATAATGACAGTGCAAGGACACGTGAAGATGACCATGAAAATCAATCTGATATGAATGTCAAACCAACTAGGATTAGACCTAAAACTAAAGGGCGAAAACCAAGAGATAAAAGCCACAAGGAAAATAGAATTGTGGATGAAGAAAGCATTGATGACAATCAAAGTAACAATAGCGGAGGAAGCAGAAATGATAATGACGAGCCTCGTTCTAAATCTAGCAGACGACATGGACAAGGACGTCGTGAACGTGCCAAGTCTGCCCCCGCAGGCGGAGGTAATGATGCGTGCATTGCTTCCATATCTGGTATTTGGGATATTCCTTCTGCTTTTGGTGTTTTGGTCTATATCACTATCGCAGAGTACACGCATTCTGATACTCATCCCATCTTTCTGTTTTTACTAGCAATATCCTTCTAGAAAAAACTGTCAGAAGGAGTACATCTTTATTCTCCTTTGTAGGGCCCTCCATGTTAGTAAGATTTGTATGCTTAGCATAATCTTTGACTTTCAGCTCTTTGATGAATCAATTGTATGTTATCGCACCACAATACTAGATAGTATCCTGTATCATGTACATTGTAGGATCATGCATTTCATTATTGTAGGTCGAAATACTATCAATAGCTTTTCAAATGCATTACAAGAAATCGTGCCCTTTAAATGGAAATATCTCATACAGAATTGTTTAAATATCTTACAGACCAATTCATGACGTACTGTGACATTCCTTTATCTTGTACTCATGATGAATTTGCATTTAGAATCGCTTATTTTGCTTTGTAGAACTCTGGTTAGAAGTAAATATGTTATTTCGAGTTTACTAAGAATTCCAAATTCAATCATTTTATTTTTGGTTAAATTGTTTAAATTAAGACCTTATTACAAATACAATTAATTCAAGTAAATTAACTGAATGTGAAATGTAAATCCATTCAACTTTATAGTGATCATGGGATAAATCTGTATTTCACTTATCAGGATAGATATAGAATTTATCACCAGGAAAATATTAATATCTTCCCATGGACACTCTCGATATGTATCAATTTTCTATTGTGGCATACCCTATACCGATTCCCTCCCAGTGCATTTGATAGTTGAACGTTGATGTTTGAAATTGTTAAATGTCATATCATTCTTAATTGTTATTTCTCTCTGTTTCAGTTAGAACCAAACAACCAACGTAAGTAAATTTTACATCTTCAAATGTATCAATCGAAAAGTAACAAATCAAACAAACAAATAAACAAACGAGCAACCCATTAATCAATCAACCAATCTGACCAAGTAACGAAAAATAAAATAAAATCAATTAATAATTTTGCTAAATTGGGATATGATTTCAAGCAATCTAATACGACCAATCAATTAAATATGTAATTCCATTTAATCAAGTCGATGAAGTATTGTCTCACATTGTGACAAAATACCATCCCCTCCCACGTCCCTGTTCTCCCTCTCTTTATCTGAATAATTATATACATTCAGACATGGCATGTATTATTTCAGGACTCGCATCCTTCAACTCTCCAAACATAAAGATTCAAAGTCAGTATGGCTTACCAGATTCGGGTAAGTTACTTATAATTATCCCAAGTGTATTTATAAGTGAATGCCAATTTAAAATTAACATAAACAAAACAAGTAAAAAATAAATACAGTGTCCGAGTGGCATTAAAAATAGAAGGGATAAAGATGACCTCTTAGAATAATCATTTCGTTACATTTTCTATCCCTTTAACTTTACAAATAAATAGAACACTATAGGATAAATGTAACCCATATTAACAATATTGATGAAGAGAAAATACTTAAAATACACACAGAAGCCTATACAATGCATGTTGTTTGCTATTACAGAGAGAGCATAATGTGGGGTACCCAAGATATGCTGTGGGATATCTCAGACGCAGCTATGGCAGCTGATCCCACAGGAAGAGTGATGGATCTCAGTATACCAAAGAAAAATTTTCAAACTGGAAATAAAGTAAACAGGTTAGTAACTGTTCAGAGTTTCAAATAAGATTTGAAGCTTTCTCTTGAATTTTTTAAACTTTGGCAGAAAATTCTAATTTCAACTTTTCTAATAAAATAATGTTCAGAACTGAGACATCAAAATTTTACTCCTGCATTCATGATCAGGTACTGAAATGAAGAAGACAACCATGATGAAACCAACCATACTGAGCAACAATATATATTGTGTCAAGTATCTGAGCTCCCTTCACATACTATATTCCTATTCAGTCTATTCCTATTCTATCTGTCTTATCCAAATGCCACTGGTACCAGTCAAAAGTGTTCACATTGGCAGATGTTCACATTTCAAGATTTTTTAAATATGGGAATTAATTTGAAAAAACAAAGTGACAAAGAAAAGGTGATCACATTTTGGCAGATGTTCAGATTAGAGAGATGTTCAGATATCCAGATTTTACTGTTCAGTACTTCTGTAAATAAACAGATGTAGTTTGTGAAGTGTGGGTACACATAAGCATGATTCAAAACAATACTAGAGGACCCTCTTCTATATATTTCAGACCGGAGTTTGTCTACAGTTGTGGCAGATCCTCTGAAATCTGGGATGTCAGCCCATTGGCCAAGAAGGCAGAATGCAGTGATAGGGTGGGGTTCTTGGCCAACCCTAAACAGGCACCAGCTGCCTATAAAGAAAAGGAGGGCAGGTAAGAGTCAATACTCAATCAATTTATGAGGAGCGTAGCCAGAATCTATGCCATATCATTAGTGTTCCAAATCCTTTACATATACAATAAATACTTCAAACTCTCTTACCTATATTGTAACATTGTTACTAGTATTCAAGATCCTTTCACCTAAATATTTCAAACTCCTTTCCTATACAATAACACCTGTATTCCAGATTCTTTCATCTATAAATACAATAAAACATTTCAAACTCCTTACCTATGCAATACCATTTGTATCCCAAAGTCTCTTTTCTACTAGTATATTTTAAACACTCTGGCCAATACAATTACATTAATATTCAAGATCTTTTCACCTATACGTATAATAAATAAAAAATTTCAAACCTTCTTACCGATACAATAACATTTGTATTCCAGGCCCCCTTACCTATACAACAATAACATTTGTATTCCAGGCCCTCTTAGCTATACAATAACATTTGTATTTCAGACCCTCTTACCTATACAATAAATTTTTTATTCCAGACCCTCTTACCTATACAATAACATTTGTTTTCCAGACCCTCTTACCTATACAATAACATTTGTATTCCAGACCCTCTTACCTATACAATAACATTTGTATTCCAGACCCTCTTACCTATACAATAACATTTGTATTCCAGACCCTCTTACCTATACAATAACATTTGTATTCCAGACCCTCTTACCTATACAATAACATTTGTATTTCAGACCCTCTTACCTATACAATAACATATGTATTCCAGGCCCTCTTACCTATACAATAACAATTGTATTCCAGGCCCTCTTACCTATACAATAACATTTGTATTCCAGACCCTCTTACCTATACAATAACATTTGTATTCCAGACCCTCTTACCTATACAATAACTTTTGTATTCCAGACCCTCTTACCTATACAATAAAATTTTTATTCCAGACCCTCTTACCTATACAATAACATTTGTTTTCCAGACCCTCTTACCTATACAATAACATTTGTATTCCAGACCCTCTTACCTATACAATAACATTTGTATTCCAGACCCTCTTACCTATACAATAACATTTGTATTCCAGACCCCCTTACCTATACAATAACATTTGTATTTCAGACCCTCTTATCTATACAATAACATTTGTATTCCAGGCCGTCTTACCTATACAGTAGTGGTAGAGTCAGCCCTTTATGGAAGGTCCACCCTGCAGCAAAAAGTTGTGGAGAAAGGGAAAGAACAATGGGTCTTGCACGACCAAAAATGCCCCACCAGAGTTTCACCGGTGCTAAGCCAATTGCTACGATCATCCCAAGACCTGCCCTCAGTGCCAGGTGTACCGACAGGTTGGAGACCCTGGCCGAGTCTAAAAATAGATCCGAGGGGCCCTTCAGGGAACCAATGTGGCCAGTAAGTCATTGATAAGGTCGATTCAAAATACTGATTTCCGAGTACATGTATAACCATAAAAATCCATGAAATCACATCCCAAGTCATAATGAACATTGTTAGCTACTAATTATATTCTCATTTAAATGAATATGAGAGATTATTTGAGTGCCCTGTGGAATGTGACATAGCGAGAGTTGAATGTTTAACTAACATTCTAGTTTCCTTACTTCTAGGTATCAGATAGAGCAAAGACAGCACAACCCTCAAACAGATCCCTTGAACTGGCCAAACCTAAATCATTGGCGGAGGGATATATCCCAGAAAGAGGAGTGGAGTGGCCTGTTACCAGGGGAGCTAAGAAAGCTATCGCTAGTGCCCGAACCACTGCATTATCAGAGCCTATAGTACGGGCATCCATGGACCATGTGCAATTTGACCCTGATGCTTTCTTAGTTTCCCCCTTAGCTTTGAAGGCTCGATGTGCTCCTAGGATAGAGGAACTCTCCCAACCTATACAAAGATAAGACAGTAGCTGCAGTTATCTTAATGTTCACCTTGCCCAGCATTTTTATGTATGAAATTGTGAAATGCACTTTGAAATGGATTTCAAATATGTTCAATTTTCAAAAGACAATCAATTTCCCGAATCTCAATCAACAAGGTATCACAAGAGTTTTTTTCCTAAAACACATAACTGAATTAACTATGACCTTGTGATGGATTCATCATTTTTGAAAAACTAATTAATTTTCAAATTCTCTTATAATACAAAAGGTCCTCAACCAGAGTGACATTCAGACATTTCTGAGTTCCTGAGATTATAAGAAAGTTATCACTGTACAAAAACAAATATTAATATATAATGTGGTTTCAAAAAGCATTTGTGTGATAATGTGCTATAAGCACAAATTACTTTTATGCAAAATATGCACATTGTACAATAAGTATTATTTACATATTCATTATCACACTTATTTACAAATCAGTATTATAACACCTTCTTCCTATCAGTATTATTTGTTTGTTGTTTAGATGGTTAAACGTACAGGGCCAGTACCTGATATATTCATTAATACTTGGTCATTCCTTGATATGTCTTGAACTCTGTGGAGCGGGATGTGCGCTTATTATGGTATATGAAATTCTGTTTCATATAAAATTAACTAAAAATATTATGATAATATGTAATTTGGTTCACTTTGATATAAATAGTTACTTTTTTCCTATATTATCAAACCTTAGAGAATCACTCATTTAGAAAGTTGGTTATTTGCATTTTAGAATAGAAAAGATATATAATAGTAGTTTATCTGGATTGGAACTTCTGAACTTGCTGCTTACTAAATGAATAATTGTTTTCAAGCGTTCATACTTTTAGAATTTTGGAGCAAAGCCTATATATAGATGTAAGTTACAAATATGATGAACTAAAAATACTTGAAGTTGATTTAGGATCAGAACATTTAGGATTTTGAACGTTACTGTCCTTTCCAATTGACTCATATGGCAAGTATAATTTAAACATTGTATAAGATTAGATATTACAAGGTTACTGGTAAAACAAGTTGGGTCTTGAAAATCAGAACCATGTTTTACTTGGATTTTATTGTATAATAATGATTTTAATTTTTGGTAGAGAGGAAAGTGACTGTGCAAAACAGTCCATAAATAACGGTTAGTTATACAGGGTATCCTGCACTTGACAATTGTTGTAGTAAAGAAACTTTATGGTCACCCTGTATTACTGGTTTACTGACAACAAGAACACCAAGAAGTACTGCTGATGATTGTATCTATTTGCATTGTAATAAAAAACATATTACATTTATTTTACATATTTAAAGAAGATACTTCTGTTACCCATATTTAATCAGTTGTGCACCATAGATAATAAAAAATGACATCATTGTTCAGTCTATACCAGACTCCGAAGAAAACATGCCCCATTATGTATATGAAAAGACAACTTGCTTTAAGTTGAGGTATTTCCCAGATCTGTGAATAGACTACACTTTGCACTGGAATGGTGGTAAACATCATGGATACCAAATTATAGATGATCCATTTCAAACTATTTTATAATCCCATCCTCGTAGTTTTAATTAAAACCCGAAAATACTGAATTCTCCCCATTTCTTAATCCCCAAAATTGGACATCAATGATGAGGTGTTAAAATTAGAATATATTCCTTTATGTTAGCATCAGGTTGTTTCCATGTTGGATGATTTGTCCTCCTTTGACTTCAAATATTCTTCATATTGTTCAGGTATTCCTTTAAAAGTCTTAATCTTTTTACGAATCTGAGCTGGGGTGTCCTGGTAATAGTTTTTGTCATCTCGAGCCATTTTCTGAAACAAATGATTTCAATTTAGTAGGCTTGTGTGTTGTGTACAGTCATTTTATTTCCATTCAGTATTCTCCACTCAGTTCTAGTCAATTTGTATCCAAGTAAAATTAAACCACAGGTTCTTTTTATGTCAAAATGCAAAAACGAGAAATACAGCGACTACAAGAATTGCCAAATCCCACTAAACAAAACTTAATCAAAATTTTATCAAATCAAATCCATCCATCAGTATTTGAGTTATTCCCCAGAGATGATGGGACAAATGAACAAAGGAACAAATGACTGACAAGCAGACAGTTTCTTTACTTTTCAATTTCTACTTGAAATTTGTTCAGTGAGATATGACAACGTTCAAAAACTTTAAGTGATGTGTAAATTTTTCACACAGTATTTTGAACTACACAGTAAGTAATTAATTATCCCGAACTCCTTACTTCATACCTTATAATTTTCTCCATAAGTTTCCATCATATAAATACAGTATCTGACCTCAGGTTGCGAAAGACGCATTGTTTTCTTTTTCACAACACTAGCCCTACTTTCCATTTCTGTAAGAAGATAAAGTGTGGTAAATATAACTAGATAATGGCAACTCCGCGGAGTAGCAAATCCCAACGAACAAAATATCAATTACCGAATTCCAATCAATTATACTCATTACTTCATTGGTTAAAATTGAAAAATTTAGATTTTAGAATTGCGAATTCCTGCAAAGCAGCCATTTTGAATTTTCTGAGGTACAAATCTGAAAAATAATAGCATAATTGTGATCTACTCCAAATTTCCTTCAATTTGAGTATAATATAGCCATACTTTGAAGGGATCGAAAAATGATTGCGAAATCGTACATTAGACAGCCATTTTGAATTTTACGAGGCTCGAATCAGAAAAAAGATACAATATTTGCAATCTACTCTTAATTGCCTTTCATTTGAGTATAATAAAGCTATACTTCAGAAAGATCTAAAAATTAGCGAAAATTTCTGTTTTCCTGACCCCCCATACACGGCCCCTGGGGGTCAGGATGAAAAACACGGAATATATGTGAAATAGATAGATGTTGCAAATATACTACCAAAATTTCAAACAATAATATAAATTACTTTGGTTTAGAATGAAAAATTTATGATTTTAGCGAAAAAGTCCCTTCATTTTTTAAGCGGCGGCCATCTTGAAAAATTTTTTTTTAGCGTAAAACTATTCATCAATATACATCTTTCCACCAAAAATAAAGAAAATCCGTCTACTAATATTTGAGTTATCTTCCGGACGGACGGACGGACTGACTGACTGACGGACGGACGGAGGGCTTCACTATATCCCTACCGAACTTCGTTCGTTGGGATAATTAGCTTAGGCTAATTAGTGGTGTCCAATTATCAGTTGTTCAGTTGCAATTTTGGAATGGTTTAAACGGATATTCCTTGCCAGACCATTTCTATATAAACTAGACAAAAGCAATGCCAAAGCGTAGCAAATCCCATCAAAGTCTATTGCAAAAATGGCAGCCATTTTTCAAAATGACCACCTTCTACCAAAAGTGTCATTAGACAGCAGAAGAAGTGAATAGCTCCCATAATTCTTTCATTTTTCTATCGTATTCGGGGATTCCCCATTACATCATGTCCAATCAAATTTCAGGATGCAATCAAGTGATCAATCATGAGCACGTGCTCTCTCAGGGCCGCGCATGCTCAAAGTAAAATTTGAAATTTTCGAAATGGCGTTAACATCAGTTCAATATCATCATTTTAAACCTACGGTAAGACTATTGAAGTTGCTCAATCCAAACTTGTAGAGAATACTCATAAAACTACAGCGAACATGGGAGATTCATTTCAATGGCAAATGAGGCCTGTTTATAAAATTTGTTTTCGAACATGCCAATATGAAATAAATATACAGTACTTTCCATATTTAGCAAATCATGGGATGTTTTGATATAGTCAATATTGATCATTTAAAAAGTTGGTACTAATTTCCAGGAGGCTGCCATCTTTCACACAGGAAGACATACAGAATTACTGTAAGTCTATGCTAATTGCAAATTAGGTGCTGCTAATGGAAACTCATGAATGTTGCATAATGAATATAGACGATGGTTTACCTTCAATGACTCCTGGCTTGATGTTACTTGCACTTGGTTTCCACGTGGTTTCACCATCATTGGCATGTTTCTCTGTCTGAAAAAAACCCATTAATAAACATGAGATTATGAGTCAGTCGATCAAACTGATGTTATGTAATACAAACTCTACAGATAATTAAAAATGTCCAATACATGACAGTCTCTCCAATGATCTCCCCAGCATTAAAGCAAGTGGGCGCAGCACCCAATAGGCTTGCATCCACCTGAAAATCCATTTGCACCCACTTGAAAATGAGAAAAATCTTTAAAAATTGGCATATTTTGACCAATTTTGGTCTGAATTGTGAAAATGAGAATTTTGCACCCAGGTCTCACCTGAGAAAAAAATCCTGGGGATATGATTGCTCTCCACAATGGCGTTCTCTTACAATGTACTTCAAAACATTATGTACATACAATTTCAACACAGGCTCTGTCTTTGAGTGTAAAATACGCAAATATACCAATAAGGTATTGCTCGCCAAAATATGGTGGTAACCAAAATACAGACCCTTTATAATATTATCTACTGTCTTCTTCATAATCTTACCGTATTCATGATCTTAATAGATTTGTTTGGGTCTGCCGAGATTCCCATTTCCCGTAAGTTCTGCTTGACTGATTTCTTTTCATCCCAGGCATTTTTCAGTTCATGGCTGAAACATTAACTTTTTGAGTTTACATGTTTCTTAATTTTAACATACAAAATGAGTATACTGTATTTACTGTTAGGGTATAGGCTGAAACATTACAGTAAACCCTGTCTTGGTGAACAGCTCCCTCAAGTGAACACCTGTGTTTAGTGAACACCACTTCATTGCACATTCTACATTAACACCTGTATAAAATCCCCTCTCTGTAGTGAACACCTACCTACAGTGAACACTTTTTTGTTGCTCCATAGAGAGGTGTTCATTAGATACAGGTTTTACTGTAATTCAAGCTATACATATGACAATTTAACAGCACAACTAAAAATCAAATACATGTAGTCTAGTTAGATATATGTGACTAGCAACTTTATAATATATAAGGTATGACCCCTATATAGTCCATTTAAAAACTTGTGGTTTTGTTCTAAATGACGCCATAGTTGGCTTCTAGGGTACCTAGGATGCCACTATTTGGTATCAAAATAAAGGGGAGTTCAACTTTCATTTGAATTACGAAAATAGAGATGTAGGTCAAAATAGTTCCGACGTGATCATGTTTACTACGCGTTTGCCCATCATCTCAGAATTGAGGAGATGGTAGCAAACGCGAGTTACAATAAATGGACGCTGATATCTCAAAAAGTAACCTGACTCCCTATAATTTGATGTAGATCAATCGAACCCCTATATGAACAGGTACATTTTGATATATAACACTATGGGGGGTAAGCGTTTTATAGTTGATCACGAACGCCATATGTGCCAAGTATTGTTCTGAATTTTCGAATTTGCTGTTGGATTACGGTACTCATACCTTAATATGAGGCCTAAAATTGTCTGCTAGTTGGCCAGAGACCATTATTCCAGCAGACTTTGAGAACAGAATCGATTTTTTCATTCTGCGTAGGGCAAACAATGATTTAAAATCACTTTCAACCCTTCTATGTGTATAAGAATGGTCATAAGAGGCCCCTGGAGGGCCATTATTACAAGTGTTATTTAACTTTCTTTACTGTAACTCAAAAAGTAGTGGAGCGATTTTGTTCAAATTTGGTATGTGAATACTTTAAGCATGGCACAATGTCTAATGACATTTTGGGTTGTAGGAGGGCATTTTGAAAAATGGTCGCCATTTTTACGTGTGTTATTTTACATTTTTTACTATAACTCAAAAAGTAGTGAGCGATTTTGTTCATATTTTATATGTGAATACTATAAGCATGGCACACTGTCTAATGACACTTTGGGTACTAGGCGGCCATTTTGAAAAATGGCCACCATTTTTATGTTTTTTCTCTATAACTTGAAAAGTAGTGAAGCGATTTTGTACATATTTGATACGTGAATACTCATGAGCCTTGCACACTGTCCCATGACACTTTGGGTAGTAAGGGGCCATTTTTACTATACATGTAACTGGAAAAGTAGAGGAGCGGTTTTGTTCATATTTGATATGTGAATTCTTTAAGCATGGCACATTGTCTTTAGAAGGTGGCCATTTTAAAAAATGGTGGTGGCCATTTTTCAAAAAATTTACAAGTACATGTGTGCGATTTTTAAAATTTTTTATAGGTGGCTACTTAAAAGAATATTGCTTCTTCTTATGACAGCTTGGCTAGTGAGCAACCATTTTGAAAATGGTGGCCTTTCTTATGTGTGTTGTTTTATGATATTTGCTACATATTTCGTTTGTAAAAGTGCCAGCCATTTCTGCTGATGGGATTCGCTACGCTTTGGCATTGCCGTTGTTCTGGTTCTCATCTGTCTCAACAAAACAGGAATATCCCAGAATTCATACAGTCATACTTCTCTTCTGTAAACTATATCATTGATTGGCCAAGGGTTCATCTATAACTACCCTGGGAAATGGCCTCTTCTGGACGTAAAGCGTTGGAACATCTGATATGACCAGTTCCCATGGTAGTGTGTCACCTGTCATTTCTCTGGAATGATGTACACTTTCCTCCAAAAGATTGGAAACAATTGTAGTACAGTAAAACCTGTTAGTGTATATCTGAACACTTGGCGAATCTGAACACCTCCAAATTTGAACATTTTTTGGTCCCATTTTTCTTCCCATTGACTAAAATGTTAAAAAACCTTGAAATGTGAGCACCTCCCAATTTGAACAGTGCACAGTCATGTTTGAAAAATTAACCTATCCAATCTGAACACTTTTCATAAAATATCACATGTTCCATACAAAATTGCTCAAATATTTGAAAAAACCTTGAATGATCTAACTCATGGTGGGGCTTTCTAGGATGACTAAATTCATTTGAATCGGATTTTCATGTCACTGTAATGCCAGAAAGCTATGTAGTCAAAAGAACTATAGATATTTATTGAGAATTTTTCCTCGAAATCCAATATCTTGCAAATGCAAAACCTCAAAATGTGAACACCTTCTAATCTGAACGCTTTTAGCTGGTCCCTCGGATTAGACAGGTTTTACTGTAGGTACAATCCCCTCTAAAAGTTACTGAAATCACTGGATTGGAATTGGTGTTCGCTATACACAGGTGTTCAATGGAGTAGACGCATGTGTTCACTGGGCACAGATCTTCAATAAAGAGGTGTTCATTATCGATATTTTTACTGTACTGAAATTACTGGCTGGGAATTGGTGTTCGCTATACACAGTTCAATAGAGTAGACGCATGTGTTCACTGGCCACAGATCTTCACTAGTCTAAAGAGGTATTCATTATGACGGTTCTACTGTTAGACTATATCCTATTTAGTCTGAATTATATTCAGACTATAAGGCACCTATGTTAAAGTTTGGTAATTCAAATGTTTGTTGTTTAAATAGGAAGTGCTATTCAAAATGGCCGATTAGGTAAAATTAATTTGCACATTCGTTACTTCAACTAGCTTTATTTCCACTTGACAATATGATGTGTTACTTTTTATTGCATTTAAATGTACCTTACTATTTAATTGAAATTTTGTAATGTTTATTTTATTGAAGAAATGGTTCCTCTAATTGATAATCTTGTGCAAAAAATTTCACTGCAATTTCCACAGGAAAGTAGTACATCATAACAGACTGACTTCTAGTCAGTCTGTTGGATACATACTAGTTCTACTGTACTGAAATCAATAGCTGGGAATTCACTATATACACAATTGAAATGTGTCTATCATGCCACCCCTGCAAAATAATTGACTCGCCCACTTGGTCTCGGATCCACTTGCAAAATATATAGTCTATAACAAGAGGAGGGAAAGCCCCAGAGCTTCAAGATGACAGACATAATTACCTCTCTTGCTTACCACCTTCGTTCGTTCGAATTTTCATCGGCTAGCTATCAAATACTTCACTTCGATGGGATGTTATAATTGATATAGGCATATTCCGTACACCTTTCTTTATCTTGATGTGAAATGAGAAGCTATGATATTGGTTAACACGCCAGAAATGAACATAATATTATTCGAAGCGTATTTCGAAAATTTTGAAACCGCCATTGATGACGTCATTTGTTTGTCGACTTTTGACCAATCAGCGACCGTGTCATCTCAATACAGATTTACATTATAAGCGTATGTCATCTTTGAACCCTGGTGTTTCTCCCCCTCTGGTCTATAACCGAGAATTTGGTCTGGGAAAAATCTCAAAAACTCACCATCCAATTGTAGGCAATTTTTTGCTTTTTAACCATGCTTTCCGTCTATTCTTGTCATAGTCGAAACTCATCCCTCTTTTTTTCTTTGGTTTACCCATGATATGTGCTTATAATAAGGCAATAAATTAGAAAGTAATAAAAATTCTTAAATCACGTTTTTAACCGGAAGTACAGAAATGAGATGAACAGAGCAAGCGAAAACTAGTCTACGTATTTGACCTACTTTCAAAATAATGTAATTTTGGCATAATCAACGCAAAATATCAAGATTGCTGTGGCACACGAGATATGTGATATACTTCCTATTTAATGATACATTGGTGAATTCAATTTGAAGAAAAATATTTTGATTTTTGCAATGACCTTGACCTCTTTCACAACTCGATCATGGCAGAAGCTAAAACAGTAGTGCCTCCAAAGGCAGACGAATTTCGATACCTGCCCCCACCAAAAGAGGACTTTTCTTGGCTCCCCAAGCATGAGGGGATATTGGACAAGTTCAAGAGGAAAGCTGGCGAAAATCCTTTCGTGCCAATAGGTAAATATAACACGCTAAAATGTATACAAATAAATCAAGTTTTGCAAGTTGATTTTGGTTTGAAAGTGAGGCTGTAAGTTTTCTGAGGAGTCACATTTCATCAGTGTGTTTTGTTTGTTTGTGTTTCATTTCTAAATCACATCCGATGGAGAGTGTTGGGAAAGACTGTACCGAGTTAAAAAGAAGATATGATGAATGCTTCAATGTTTGGTTCAAGGAAAAGTTTCTCAAAGGAGATGGAGAGGACTCTTGTGCTGGAATTTTCAAGGAATATCAAACTTGTGTGAAAAGGGCTATAAAGGATAAGGGGATAAACCTAGATGAAGTAGAAAAGGATGTCTTGGGAACTGAAGATGCAAAGAAACCACCAATAGAAAAGAAAAAATAGTTCTATTACATGGGTAGAGTACATTGTCACCTCCAAATAGAACTGCTTTGGAGAACTCTATTTTTGTGATAGTTCACCAAATTCGTTATGTATAATCTGTACATGTATCAAAGTTCAAATGATAGCTTGATAATTGATTGTTATTCAATCTGTATGTAGAGTGTATACTTGGCATATTTTGTAAACAGGTATATCTGGCAGTGTCAAAGCCTATGTTGGTTGAGCTTAATCATTGGTGATTCATAGCATAGCTAAAGTGAAACTTAAAAGCAAATTAAGAAATGTTCATGCTAAGTTAATGCATAATTTAACTGAAGCAAAATTAAATTTACATTGTCGATAAAGGAAATTGATCAGGGTGAAGATATCTAAATGACAAGTTCAGTGGACTGACAGATGTATAGATTGTGCACATTTGTGTCATTTCCCGGACTTATATTTTTGTATATCTGTATAAATATTCAATGTATCCCAGTTGTCAGCATCACCTGAATAGATTCATGAAACACATGCAGACATACACTACATGTATTTTAAACCACGACACTTTAATTTCAGGGCTTGGGATGACTACAGTAGTTTTAGGATTGGGACTTTGGCAAATGAGAACAGGAAATGTAAAGAGATCACAATTCTTCATGAGGGCTAGGATTGCTGCCCAGGGATCTACAGTTGCAGCTTTATTAATAGGAGTATGGTATTCTTCAAAGAAGGGAAAAGAACCTCCTCCCCCTCAGCGATAGTTTCTTCCTAGTCTTAATCTTTACATTGGCATTAGTCTTGTCCTGACATGGAATCAGAACTTCATTTGTGTGGTGATTTGAAATATGATAACAAATATATACTGATCATTGCTGGATTTAGGATGATGTGTCATACAGATCTCTTATCGTATAAACGCTGCTGTTTGATTCTAGACCTATGTAAAAAAAACATACATGGATTAATCTCAACCAATTAACAAGCAGTGAGAATAGCAAAGAAATATCTTCGAACCTGTTGACTGGATCATGAGGTCTGGCCAGTGACTGTGAATGTTTGATGTCAATGGCCATTATATTGAAACATTTGCTTTTACCAAACCTGATGGTAATGGCACTGCGATATCAATATACAATATGTCAACAATTTAATGTTCAGCAATGCATTTTATATCCATAAATTATGAAGACAGTCGTGATGGATATTTTATGATATCATTCTGGAAAATATTTTCTTCAGTTAATTTATGTTTATCACCATACACTGGATTGATTAATTGTAACAAATGTCACTAGATGTATCAATAAATACCTCATTTTTATTAAAACATTAATTTTGAGAATCGTCAGATAAAATCCATCTGGGTCATGCTTTGTCTCCGGTTATGTGGTGTAAAGGTTACCGTAGCACTCTGTACTCTTGATACGCGGTATATGGCATACATTCATGGTTGCGCGGTATTTGTGATACGGGTGAATATGTCATACTCACTTGCGGAATATGCCATATACCGCAGGTGATTATGACATATACCGCAGGTGAAAACGTGATACAGAATGATTGATTTGATTGGTTGCGAGAATTGACTCTATATGTAAAACTACGCTGGATTACCAATAAAGTTAGAGCGTCGAGTACTAATAAATGAATCTTGGATTGATTAAGTTTATTACGCGAGATTGGTCACTGATACTTCTGCTAAGTTAATATATTCGATACACAGTACTGTTGATTCAGTAATCATTATAATGATTTATAACGTTTTACTTGTTCGTTCAATCGATGCAATTGACAATTGTGTACTTCCGTATCATGTTCTCATTGGTTAGTGTGTATGCCATATACCGCAGGTGAATCTGTCATACACCGCAAGTGAATATGCCATATTCGTTGGGGAATATTACATATTTTTGTATCGTGTTTACCGTGTAACAGTCCTAGCCAGGAAAAAAAAATACCAGCTCCTGTCAGATTAATATGGGGAGCTGTTTCTACATTAGGATATCAAGTTACATTATCCTACCACACGTATATGCCCTATGGTGTCTGTGAGATATGATGTCAAATGAAAATGAATCCATTTCTCTCCCTGAGAAGAGAAGATGTTATTTCATCAAGAAGTATTTTTTGATTTTGCAACAGGGATAGAAATGCCATTTGTTTCGATGGAATGATAATAAGTGGGGGTTCAATCTGATATAAATTACAGTATTAAGGTGGGAACATTTTTTATGTCACCACCAGAAGTGGTGACATATTGTTGTAGTCTCCAACTTTTTTGTAGATGGTGCTTGGAGTTCAGCATCTGTAACGATTTGTATTAACTTACAAGATGATGACATTTTGTCATGTTATGCCTTGTTGAACTTGTTTTTGTATGATTTCAATATGCAAGTTTAAGTGCTGTATTTCTCTGAACAAGAAACTCCATGGAAATCATGACATTGACTATATGTATTCATATATGAGATTTGGGAATTTTCAGAAGTGTTCCTCATATTTAGTCATCTCTCCCTGCCTTCGGTATTTTTCACTTGATCCTCTGAATTTGCTCTTAGATTATGTTCAACTGTTCTGTACCAGATGTTCTATGAGTAAAAACTATTGTAGTTTTAACAAGGTGATGTATTGTAAATACATACTGTCATATGTAAATATGCATTTGTACAAAATAAAATGTAGATATTTATGAAAGATATGTCTTATGTGTCTTCTTCAACAAGTTTCAATTGAGACAGAAACTTGTTTTATTGTAACGTATGATAATCAAGCATGATATGGCGAGTGATTTTAGACAATATTACTTTGATTAAAAGTACTTTTAACCATAAAACCATATTTACATTTCCACAAGAACTGTGAATGTAATAACTGAATATTCCTCTGTACTAACCTTGAAAAGTAAACTAGTACAGAGGAGTCTTTTTCATACAGAGGAATCTTCAGTAATTCAGTTATTATTGTAAGAACTAACAGATGAATATCTTTGGCACAACTGTGATTGGGTTTTCCTCCAGTACAAGTCATTACAATTGTAAAAATCAATCTGATGATGCATTGACTAGGAGCCCCACGGTACTTCGGATCCCCCTCGGTACTTTTTCCAAAATTTGATTTTTTATTTTCCCATGTGGAAAACTGCTATCCATGTTGTCTTCACTTTGCTCATCAGAACTTTCAAAATTAAGTTGCAGAACCAACCATATTTCTTTTGTTTTTAAAAGTTATAAATATCTAATACAATCTATAGATGAAATAAAAGGAAAATTACATTTTCAAGAAAACAGTCCACTATTTTTAAACGTATGTTGACTTAAGGTCATACTTCAAGAATTATATTTATTTTTCTTCTGGGGAATGTATCATTTTAATGTGATGTATTTGTTGTCAGAAATACATGGACTCTAGGTTAAAGACATGACTGTCAGAAATGACTTGCAGAACCACACATAGTTCTTTACATCAGGACTACAGTCTGTTACACTGCTTCAAAGGCAGGCAGTTAAACCTGAAATATAAGAAATCTAAATAATATTGTGCAATAATATATAGAAACATATATTCATATTGCTCACGAATGACATTTGTCTATGTTGGATTAATAATCTGAAATATACAAATGTCATTCATGTGCAATATGAATATATTTTTCTATATATTATGGCACAATGGTCTATAGATATCTTATTTTTCAGGTTCAACTGCTTGCCTTTGAAGCAGTGTAACAGACTGTATAAGTATTCGATACTAGAGAGAAAGCATTTTCTTTTGAAGGTGGCTCTTATTAATTGTTTATATTAAATTAAGCAAGTATAAACTAGCGAATGATTATTATACTGGGATAAATTTTCATTCATGAAATGTATCAAAAATACACTGATATGATAAATTAAATACCAAAATCAACACTAAACTGTAAATTGGTTTAATGTTGGTGTTTTATCCATAATCTGGAAATTGCCCCAACTTATTACTTTGCAAAAATCATTTGAAATACTAATCTTTCCATCATACTAAGCTTATGCTTATACTAATTTGACTTACTTTAAATGCATCCACAGACAACATAATAATTTTTTTATTTTTGGCAAATTCAGTATATTTTTATTTTATTATTCACTGATATATAATTTGCATACCATAGAGTATAAAAGATTATAATGTATAAACAAAAATAATATCTTTACTACATGTATTTTTGATTTTTACATATGAAACAACAAATTATCAAAGATAGTAAACAATAACAAATCTGGATTTTGTAAATAAATGACGCATAAATACAATATACAAATGGCACCCGGCGACACAAAAGCAAACATTTATTCTTTGATTTATCAGATGGCGTCTCAAAAGTTTTGCATGAATACTTTCTAAGTGTAATTACCTTTTGGATGGTGTGAAGCTAAAAACCTTGAATCATACAGGCAGAAACTAGGCAATAAATCAATCACCTAAAACCCTACCCAATTCATGAAATGGATGGCATTACAAACTGTGAGCAAAACTTTTGAGACACCACCTCAGACATATATCTGTATTTCGATACTTGAAATTGTTTCAAAACATTTTTATCGCCCAGGAATGTCAAAACAATAAATTATAGCATTTCACACTATTAACTGCACACTTATATGGAAACATATAATTTTGAAATTTTGATTTTGTGAGTTATATACTTTAACTTGCAATATGATATACAGGGTGATCATAAAGTCTTGTTACACTTTACAGACTTTGTATTGTAATTGTGAAGAGATTTTATGGACACCCTGTATAGAAGAATGTAATATCATAAATTGATACATTACATGTAAACACAAAAATAGAGACAAGTACAAAAATTATATGATTCTGGTATTTCTTTCTGGCCTTTGAAGCATGGAGTTAAGTTTTAAAAGGAAGTGTTGTCTTATTTGATAAATGTAAAAATAGAATAAAAATATCATATATATGAATAAAGAAAAATTCCAAAGATGGTAGAGGTAATAACTCGATTTTTGACGGTGTATTTGGCAATGATCAGATCATGATACAACATAGGATACCATAAAATGGCAAATATACACAAAGGTTTAATAAGTTAAAAGAGTTAAACCAAATAAGGTCCATCATTGAAAATGGAAGAGCCACCCTTCGATTAATCCACTATCACTATCACAAGGTGAGACTGGAAGATTTGTCTACTATGGGGAATAAAGCTTTTTGACAGAAAGGATGATGTCTGGAGCCTGAGACCAGAGGATGGTAAAGATCAGATAAATTTCTTAGATGAATACTACATACATGCATCGTTTACAGGTGACAACTATCTACATGCATCGTTAACATGTGACAACTATCTTTTAGAAAACTTACTACAGTTAAGTATAGCAGGCGCGTAACCAGGCATACGCGAGGGTACGCAACTGCGTTCCCTAAATGATGGAGCAAAAAAAGGCAAGGCAAAATATTTTGTATTATGATCTTTCCTGAACTTCTTCTCTTCAAGACTCCAGACAAGTAACATTTTTCTATGCTGGTTGCATTTTCCAATATGCACCAACTAAGGTCGAAAATCAAAAAAGTTCTGGAGGTCATGCCCCCGGAAACCCCCTAGTTTTACTCAGCCTCGCTATCTGCTTTCAAAATCCTGGTTACGCCGCTGTATAGAATCTAGGTAGGGTTTGACCTCCAGTTATTAGATATTAAACATATATTATCTGATAATGATCCACATATGAGTACCTTGGAATATCTTTTCCCATGGCAGGAGATATCAAAGTTTTATATCTGAGTATTCTGGTGAACATATTTGAAATATATTTAGACAATTTGAAGCCGATAGCAAATTAGCAGCAAACACACTTACTGATGAATGTGATGTGAAAACTCATGTATGAGTATGAATGGTTAAATTAGGGTTATGTATATATTTTTCCCTGTTTTTAGTGGGTGCAGAATTATAATTTTAAAAATTCTGATCAAAACTTGTTATTTTAAACATTCCCAAAGGATGGGTATCGATATGGTGAACTTTTGAACATGCGTTTATCTTAAACCAGTCATCAAAACATTCTGAAAATTTTACACATCATCAATTTAATGGTCATCTTTTGAATGGTAACATTATAATTTGAAATATATTTATATACTTTTCTCTATATTGTTTTAGAAAACACATGAAACACTTCTTTTGTTCTTGGTATCATATGTTCAGAATGAAATGAAACATCTATCCGAACCTCATTGGAACACAACGACATAAACACAATGTGTATAGGTCTCTCAATATTGTAATTGTACAAAGGAAAGTTTGGTTGATTTTAAAAAAGTATCTTGTAAATGAAAAAAAGGTTTATCTTAATTTCTATCTATTTTGGGGGGGGGGTTTGTTTTTAGTTTTTGCATACTTTTTGTTAAATCAGCCAAAATTTCCATTGTATAACTATAATATTGAGAGGTCTAAGAAAATGTTGTATGCTATTTTGTTCCAACAAGGTTCGGAAAGACATTTTATTTCATTCTCAAGCATTGGTAGAAAGGAACAAAAAAAAAACAATTGCACTAAAAAACAAAAAATGTTATACAGTTATATAAAATATAAATAATTTTTGCATCAAATTGTTGCCAATCAATCAACATTACATAAAGGACCGTGTTTTTTTACAGAATCTTTTCAATAATTGGTTTAAGAGAAAAACAATCTTGAATTCAGTTCACCATATCGATACCCATCCTTTTATCATTTTTCAATTTCAAGTGGGTTCATGCTTACCAAGTTAAAGGCTATTTAAAAATCATAAAAAGGTGCAGTACCCTTCTGTTTGATCACTTAAGCCACAGTGACATTTGCTCTATGGTGTCCGTAGCTTAAATCAATATAGAAACTCTACACCATACTGCTTATCCCTTTATTTTGTGCTGCAAATTTATCTCAATTTTGGGAAACTACGGCTGCCATATTTTTTGCTATACATGGCATCAAGCATCAATTGAATTCATTTGATTTACACATTGGAAGTGAATAAATGCATGTGCTTTGGGCAAAATTACCAGTCAATGTGGTGTCCAGCTTTGATTGAAAATAATATAAAATCTAGGAAATAAAGATGAGATACATATATTATTAATTTGGGATATTTTGTAAAGCTATTACTATAATATTTTGAGGCTAGACTAGACAGAGGCTAGTTGAAGAATGTGTGTAACAGTTTTGAGTTTTTAGATAATAGGGGTGTTAAGCAGTACATCTTTAAGAGAACTTGTATGCGAATGTATAATGTCATTGGTCACTGGCCTTCTCTCAAGGAACCTAATTATAAATATTTTCTTAAAATCAGAAAACTTACTTGGACAAGTAAAAAGGATAGAGCTAATGCCCGGAGGACCATGTTCACATTCAAGCTTTCTTTAACTAACATAAGTTGCTTAACCACCCTATTGTACACCCTATTACATTTAACAATTCCGAGTTAACGGTAAAATACCAATCCTAACCCTGTGAAAATATCTTTTTATTCCGAGAAAACAGTCATGGAGATTATAACCTTAAAACTCATAGCAACATGCACCACCATAAGATTTTTACACATTTTTTCAATACACGTAGGTATCTTTTGCTCACCTAGTAAATGGCTTGATAGGGGAGAATTCTGTGTGAAGAGTTATTTTTGTAACTTTAATATTTACAGAGAGAAATTTTTTATCAGTCTCCTGATGGTGCAATTAATAATTTTTCTGTTTTTTTAATTTTGGAGCATTTTAGGACCAGAGTTACAAAGCCAGCCACTGAGAGAAGATAAGGGAATTGACAGGGATACATTGACATGCTTTTTGGAGATTCCTTCCAACATAGTGCTATACACTCTACCTTTGCCACCACTTTAACTACTGTAAATGTAAATTCCATTATCTCCTTGAGGAGAATCATCTCATGCATACTACAATCCCCTATAATACGCATCAGGTTTCAACGTTGGAACTCTGTCTTCCAGTTTGTAACGTCCTTCCCAGAATGCAATACCCTGCCCTTTGGCTCTGTATTTTTTCTCTTTAGAATCAAAACCATTCTGGCCATTGAATAAAATATAATAACAAACATATATCAAAAAGCCTACTGCGTAGAAAATATGCATATATAGCAGTGCATATATTGTACATATTGTATACATACAGTGCACCCATGCACAGTAACCCTGTACTTAGTACAATAATTACTGGACAGAAACTATACCTTAACAGTGATCTCCTCAGAATTCTCAAGTACGTATAAAATAATCATTTTTAGAATTCATAGTTTGTCAAAATGTGCCAATGCTTCATAGCTCTCCTTTTCAAAAAGGTTTTCAGACGATTCTACGCTATATTCAAAATTTCATGAGTATTCCGTACCCACTTGCTCAAATGCTAGGGAGATCACATCTTGAAAAGTGCAGATATACAAATTACACCCTTTCGTTATACATGTACACTGGAGACATCAAATGTCCATATTTCCCACAGTTATCAACACAAACACAATCTTGTTGATTCAAAAAATGTGTTGTTTCCTACTAGATTTAAATGCACTTGTTATAGTTTCATAAGAAGATTCTCCAAATGCTCATGCCCTTTCTTGATACCCTCTAAAGGAGTTTCTGTTCCTATAACCTGAACTTTGTGGTCCTTAGGTGAGAAAAAGTCTAATCCTAACACTGTTTGTATTTCATGTGGTTTCAAAGCACCAGCCAAGTCCTGAAAGAAAAAATGTATTCAAATTTTTAACACAATATTCCTTTTCCTAAATATAGATTCTATAATAGTTCTCTATAATGATAGAGCTACATAATCCACCAAAATAGGCCTCGTGCAAATCTTCTAAAATGTCACATTCAGGGTTTCTTAAAGGGGTTTAAACAAGTTTTGTGTGCAACAATACAAATTGATGGTCAGTGAACAGGCCCGTAGCCAGGATTTGCCAAGGGGGGTTCACTTTTTGAAAAATTCCAGGGGGGGTTCACTTTTGACAATTTTGGTTCCTTAAAAAGTGCTCAGAATGAAGAGAAACTGCATGATCTTGAAAGAATCTTTGGGTTCCCATCGAACCCCCCCCTCCCCCTGGCTACAGGCCTGGTGAAGTATAAGAAAAGCCCAACTAGAAAATAAAATGGAGAAAAATGTACATGTAATTATTTTTGACTAGTCACAATTCAACAAAATTGCTACCGACCTGTTTATTGGCTACAATTACTATTGGTACATGTTTTAATCTCTCATCCCCTAGCTGTATATGTAATTCATCATATGCCTCTGGATGTCTCTTGGTGTCTGCAGAGTCCACTACAAACACCAATATGTCTGTGTCCTGAATAAAGTTGTGCCAGTATTTCCTCACAGATGGATCACCTCCAACTGAAAGAGAAATTGAGACATTAATACATGGAAAAGTAACTCATTATCTCTAATTCTGGAGATGAGTCAAACTCAAAACATCTTTGTTTCATGTGAGAGTCACCAACAGGTCAAGTTAACTTGATCTATCATGAAAAAATTATTCCTTATAGCGTAGGCTCCATTCTTCTTCATTAATTTTTGATCAAATATGAAATATGCAAATGGAAAATTTTCTGTTTGCAATATCTTTAAAACTATTTGTCTAATGCGAGTAGGCAGTTACCAGTTTCACCACCAGGTGGCTCATTTGGGTCAGATAGCATGGTGGGTGTAGTAGAAAGTAATTTAAATATTCATCTGTTTTAGTGGTTCAATTTTCATATCACTCTTATGTATCTAATATTAAAATATGTCCAGTTAAAGAATCTGTCCAATACAAGAGAAGATATTTCACTGTTTGTGATTTTATAACATGGGGTCTATGGGGAATCTCCCTGAATTAGAAGTCAAATGAAAAAAAAAAATTTTTAAATAAAAAGTTGATAAACAATTTTCGAAACCATATTTCCTGATGTATTTTTTCACGTTGATTTCAAATATGATGTTCAATTATGTAAATCAAGATTATTCCTAATTGTACCTAGTTTATCGTCCTCTGGGTTTCGTCAATAAATTCTTCTCACGTTTTTCAACAAGTCAGCAATTTAGTATCAATTTGATTTTTTGCTGTTTTAGTATGCTGATAGTCTTGATATGCAGCATGGTGTCATTGTATACAACATGTAGCTTTTAATGTACATATTTTTTTGTAATAAATAACTCAATTTAAAACATATATTAGAACGTAGAATGTCAGAAGAATTTGTCATTTAATCAAAGTCGTCAGTTTTAATTGCTTAATTGCTTTTATTTAATTGAAACTAAAGCTATTGACAGTTACATACACTCATTAATGTTTTTGACCAGTGATTACAATGAACATTTAGTCCATTTTATACAACAGGCCTCCTAGACTTCCAACAACGCGAACATCAGTTCTGATACCACGAACTACGTTCCTTGCACTCGAACCATGAATCTCATATCGCGAATGTGAAATCTTATGTCGCGCACCACCATTTCCTTGTTTCCGAACATATTTCTTGTACCGCGCACAAAGATCCGTTACCGCGAACCACGCATCTGATCGAAAAAAGTCCGTAATTTTGTTTGTATTATTACGCATAAGTTTAATTCCAAAGAGGTGTTTTCATGTGGAATGCGGAAGAAATATTTTCCCAGTTTTTCATGCATGTGAATGAATATCCAATCATTGACGATAACAGTATTTTCAAGCTCTAGGGAACACAAAATATTGGGACTACCTTGCAATCACGCGCATTGACATTTTCAGTGAAAGGGCTGGGTAATAACAACAAAAACCTGACTTATGAGTAACAACACGTATGGCCAAATTAGTGACATCTTCCGATCACAGGGCTTCAAAATCCAGAATATCTTCTTTCTCTTTACCAGCTTTTTCCAAATTTGTCCATTTGAGCCGATGATTGCATCATAATAAAGAAATGAGTTACCCTATGTACAATATTCCCGATTTTATAGAATACTTGATGTGCTATATCTGTCGCTCCAGCTACTGATAATTTCAAGATGCTACCCTTTGCCTGTCAACGTTTTAGATGAAAACTTAACTTAAATGTTGCCCCCTCCCCCATTACGGCTTGTGGGATTAACTGTTTACATACAGTAAATATCATCCTGATAAAGATTTTAACACTTGGTTTTTGTTTCAAAACATATCAAATGACTACTAAATCGCAATTTTAGGGTAAGGGCTAAGAATACTTTATCTGTCTAATCTTTGACCGTCTGAAATAAATGTGTGTTGACGAGTCCTGTAGTTAATTAATCTTGGTTTTAAAACCGAAGCTTTCATTGTGGGCTGTTCTGCCCCACGCATGGGCCATTTTGCCCTACTCTCAACATTATTTTTCGAACACTCTGAAAAATCACAGAAAATGTGAAATATAATCCCTTCATAAGATGGAACATGAAAGTTCGCGATGATTGACAGATTAGAAAAACCTCTGCACGGATCAAACTATTATGAGGGCCGTTTTGCCCCATGTTCCCAAAAAATTCCTGACTTCAGCAACCAGGACGATATCTGACCCAAGACATGTGGAGCGCTAAAATGTCGGACCCTTTTTTTTCTGGGCCCATCTCAGAGGGTGGGGCGGGCCAGTGCATCTACACAGAACACAGCCATAACTGATTACTACAATGTAGGTGTACTGTATAAAAGTAAACCTTGTAGTTAAAGGTCGCATGATGCAGTGTGACCAGGATCACACTGACCATGGTCAGAATGACCTTAGACATGATGAAATAACTTTTTCAGGTCACTGTAAATAGCTTTAAGTAGGAGCATAGGAAAGGTCAATGAACAGAGTCTTTTGAATTTTTCAGAAAATGTGCCCAATATATTGCTCTAAATGATAAAATCTTTAAAATTTTAGAAACTTGTCTGAAAAAATGGCGGTCATAAAAAGGAAAAAAATATCGCTTTTACAAATGACATCTCCCATTACACCACACCGTGCGCAGATACTCTCTGATCCCAAAAATGAATGACTGTAGGACGCAGTGCTTTCCTTTGACACATCATTTAAAGCCCTGCCAACTCGGGGCGTGGATGTTAATCTTAAGATTACGTTTCAAAATACAGTGACGAATGGGTCATCTAACATGCAAGTGCATGCTTTTCATAGGAACGAAAGTACGGCGAAAGCGGAGGAGAAACTGAATTTCGTTTCCTTGTTTCACTCCGTTGCATGGTATATACATGTAACTCGGAATCCCAAACACCCGGATGTATTATGTACAAATTGTTCGCGGTAACGGATCTCTGTGCGAGATACAAGAAATATGTTCGGAAACAAGGAAATGGTGGTGCGCGACATAAGATTTCACGTTCGCGATATAAGATTCGTGGTTCGAGTGCAAGGAACGTAGTTCGCGGTATCAGAACTGATGTTCGCGTTGTTGGAAGTCTAGGAGGCCTGTACAATGTATATTTAGTTTATTTTTCAATTTTGTAAAAAGTGTGCGTAAAATGTGTGCGAAAATATTGAAGATTGTGATTGGTTTTAGTTTAATATAGTTTATTTATGTGTCACAAGCAATACTATTAAAATACATTTAAAACATTTTTTAAAAAACATTGCTTCTAGCCGATGCCGGCTTATGAGACACCAAGTTAATACATGTGTGGATAATGAAATGGTCAATGAAGAAAATGGTCAATGAAAAAATCTCGATCTAACAATTTGATTGCCCTATGAAGTGATGGTCTGCAAAATACTAAAATGAAACTATTCAATTTTACACTACTTCATTTGTTTCCATTTGGACAAAAGGTAATACTTACTTTCCCATATGTTCAATGTTGTATCATTTTTCTGCACACACATCACATTAAATCCTTCAGTTGGTTTAGGTGCTGATTGCAGTTCATTGTTCTCCATGCATGCCAAGACAGCACTTTTCCCCGCATTGTCCAATCCAAGTACCAACACACGCTTTTCCTTGGACTCTTCGATTGTCTGAAATAACATCTACATCTATCAATAAACTACTTAAAGCTCTATTTTTTAAGCAACACAATATGTTTTTATGAAGTTATCCACACTACGATCAATCAGTGACATATAAAACATATGTTTTATATGTCTCTGGATCAATCCACCAGAAAACTAGCATATACATGTACCCTCATAATACAAGAGTTTCTGGTGTTGACATTATACTGCATCAAAAATGCCATTTTTGTTTAATTACAATGTTATCAAATTGGCCAATTAATCCATGATATACATGTACAATCTACACTTGATTTCATGTTGTTTCACAAAATAATTTCAAGTGATCCTATTAGTCAGATAGTATTAGATTCATGTGGTTGCTTAAATGATCCAAGGAGTATTAAACAAGACTTTGGCATTTTTTAATTACTTAGTCATATTTGATCGGATAGGGAGAAAAACTTAACAAAATATAAGTTGCAATTTTATATCAATTCACGATGTTGTTTCAACATTTTTCAATTGCCATATTATTGTAACATTTATATTGAGCCATAACTTGTAAATGTCTATTGCCCCGAACCGGTCCGTCTTCTTGCTGCAAGCAAAATGAAATTCTTTGTCACAAAGTTTGGCATTTTTTATAAAATCAAACGCGCGTCATTGAAACTCACAAGATGTAAATAGCATGTCATTTACATCATACCTTGATGGGGAAAAATAGATCTTATATGTTAGAAGTACTAAATAAATATTATCGTGAAAATGAGACAGTCGTTCAAATTAAAAATCTGTAAAAAATTGGGGTACTAAAAGCATCGGGAGGCATCATATATTTCAAATTAGACACGAGGAAGTCAATATTGAGCAAGTTATGGCTGTTTTAAATTCAAATAAAACCGTTAACCCGTACCGGTCCAGCTTTTGACCCGTACCGGTCAATTTTCGTTAGCTGCGTATACCAAGGGTGTATTGGCTAACTGAGGACTATCCAAATCATGTCCATGTTAAAGGGGAGGTTTGCTGTGCTAATTATGTTTAATAAAATCATATAGTAGATTAAAGGTTATTATTATATGTAAAAAGAATGATATGTTTGATTGATGTAAACGGGGTCGTTTTTTATTGTTATTTGTACATTTTAGCCCATATTTCAGTGAAAACTTATATTAATATTTCAAACAATTTTCTTAAACTTTTACAGATTAAATTCTGGTAATAGTTAAGGAGACATGACAAAGCTCAAGATACTATTTTAATTTTGCCAACCTGTGCTTGAAATGGGGGGAAAAGGCCGAAATGCTTGAAGTGGATGAAATGAAAGAGAATGTGAGAACAGCTTATGCTTGAAACAGCGAAACAGGTGCAAGCAGCTAAACAGTAATTTCATTTTTCAAGACATCGATTGAATTGATTGAAACGGTTGAAAAGCCCCGGCGAAATGCTTGAAACGAAAAACGTGCATGTTCGTTTTCCTTTTCAATCGTTTCGCCTGTTTCTTCATCGAAACTTTAAATTCATTTCAAAGGCGAATCGATTGAAATGCTCGAAATGACGCAAGCTTTGAAACGTAGGAAATGATGCAAAAATTGAAATGATTGAACTGATTGACACGATTGAAACAATTGAAATTTTATTTATAGTGTATACAGGGCTTGGTGTAAGTGATATTGAGTTTATCACAAGACTTGAATATAAATCTTTCCTTGGTGATATACTTTTACCCCACAAATTTTACACTACAATCACAGACGTCGGCACTCAACCATAAGTTTTGAGATACACTACCATTAAGTTTTGAGACATGCTACTGTACGATAGTTTTTGAAGTTTTGAGACACATCAGCATAATTTCTGATGTTGAGAGAATGAACTTTTTTTGGATGCGACTTTTCACGATGTGGTAACACCTCTCAATTTTAGAGCACAGACACATTACGAAGGCAGAGCGATTTCATTACAATACATTTTTACCATAATCCAATTCCTTTTTATTTCAGGTTTGGAAATCAGGTCATCCTACCATTGTTCAAAGTATAATGACTCCAACATTATTGTTAACAAAAAGAACACAACCTTGTCACAAAATCACACAATGTGAATTGTCAAATCAAGATCAAAGGCCATCAAATCTAAAAAAATTATAGTTTGGGACAAAATAAATGACACTTGACAGGTGGATTTTCTGTCACCATATCCAAACCATGGTGTTTTGTAAGCCCTATAGTCTCAAATATTGTCTTGATACATATCCCTTAAAATTTGTTTATTTTACATTTTGTATACTGTCATCCAGTGATGTATGACCTCTTGAAAATTCTCTTATTTTTAACATCACCCCGGAATCGCCTGACTATGGTAAAGTCAGATACCGTTGTCATAAATGACGGACATAACCGTCGCTTCAATTAGATTTTCATGAACTGTATGTTTAATAAAGCACCTCCACTATATTCCTTTGGAACAACAATCAATCAAAGTGTCTTAATACTCATTGTGCAGTTAATAATGTTCTACCATCGAAATAAAGTCTTTAATTTAACCAATCAAAATGATATATTGGACAACGGACACTGTAATTACCATATGCCGTTGTCTTTCTAAATTACTCAAAATCAGATTCTGTTGTCATTGACGATATCGAAGATGCTATATTGTGGCGATTCACGACCCAACTTGATCGAAAATGGGATTTCATATGATACATTATCACAAGAGCCACATGTAATCCATGCACAGAATTAGTTCAACAAGTTAAACCTAGTTTGGGCCTTATTTCTTATCTGACATATCTTGTGGCCCGCCCTAGGTTTAACGTCCGGGCCTATTCGGCCTTTGATGCAAAATATTTAATAGTGGCCTATGGCAGCGCATAGAATTCCATGCGCGTTTAATTTATAACTGATAGTGAGAATTTGCAACAAATAAAACTATGGCACGGAAGTTAAACCCAATCACGGCAACAATAACATTCAGATTAATAAATGAAAGCCGTGGTATTTGGGTTTAACTTGTTGAACTAGCACAGAATTAGCGACGATAAAATCCCATGAAATGAGGACCAAGTGATTAAACAGTTGAAGCGACGGTTATCTCCGCCATTTGTGACAACGGTATCTGACTTTACCGTAGCCAGGCTATTCTGGTGTGAACATGGGAAATCCTCACTTCAGCAAATCCATGTGTCATTATTTTTGTTCCAAACTGTCATGATTTTCCATGCTTTCAAAATTAGATGAAATTTTAGACAGTATAATTCAGACCTTTGACAGCTCTTCAAACCCTTCATCTTCTTGTGCATCTTTTCTTAGCTTCAAATAGTTGTACGTCACATAACCTATCCCTGCAACCGTTGCCCCACCAGCTAATAAAATAGCAACTTTTCCAGCAATTTTGCCAAATGACATTTTTACACTTGTTTACAGATTTTTTACCAGACAAAACTAATCAGTCAATTGTATTTCAACTCTTCATTTGAATAGAATGACATGTATAGCTCGCTTACATGGTACTGGCTGACCTCAATTTTAATATGCGCGCATGCGTACAGTTGAAGCGGGAACAATGGCGTCAAAACGTTCTCTGTATAAACCTGCTCCCGAACAAAGCGGTGGAAATCATAGTCATAGGTAAATATATGAACTTTTATTATATTTCTTGCACTAGATATTTACATATTGAATATTTTGACGGGTGGTTTAACATTTTGCATTAGTTTTTCATTTAGAAAACGATGCCCGAAGTAAAATAATTTTTGAGTACTTTTGTTGTTTTGGATATTTGGATTTTGGCGCCTGACCGTTATGCACAGCAAATCTTGGCGGCAGTTACAAATATATCCCATTGTTCAAATAATTTTTACTATTAAATTGATCTCGTTGATACAAGGATTATATTGGTGTAATTTATGATAATATCCGTAATGGGAGTATAATTTTACATGAACAAATAGATGATATAAGAACAATGAAGATTCAACTTCAAACACAAAATTGTCTCTGAACATAATTTCTGTGAACCCAAATGCGCACTCTTCCGGGTCATCGTAACATTTTAAAGATGCAACAAAGTTTGTGTAAGATATTCTACTAAGACATGCTATAATATTGGTGTCTATTTGACCTTGGGTTATTGCATAATTTAATGTGAATTCTTCCTCAAAATCCACAATCATGATTCACAAATTGCATATTGAAAGTTGGCTGACTGCCAAAAAGATGTAGGTCACACCTGGCATAAACAAAGATTTGATTGGTTGCATCAAATGTGGGAATTTTGAAACTATCAAATGTATAAGATCATAATAAAATAAATATTATGGTCCTTATTGTGTTATTTACTCAATTCTATCGTATTGTTTATTTTTATTCTCAATCATTTTGACAAGTTCTATTTGTTTCCAAACACATTCCGGTTCAGATGATTGGTGAGGGTGTCACAAAATAAATTTGGCATTTTTTGCTCGAAAACAGTTATGTTCAGAAAAAGGCACTTTATTGATTTACTCTTCATTTTCAGGAGACCATTAGCCCAGGGTAGACTCATCTCAAATATCAGCAATAATGGGGAGTCAATTCTGTCAAACACTCATGACAGTGGAGCAATGGATCTTACTACATACAGCACAAAAGGTGTTTAGAATTCACATCCCATTAGAATTTGATCTCTTCAATTTTTGTGAATCTGTATATCAGATTAAATAAATGCCAAAATCTGAGTAGTTATAAATTCCCATTTTTAGCTTTCTAAATGTGGTACGATTATAGATTGCATCCCTATATCAATCAAAAATGTATGAAAGTGGCTCGTCTAGAATATGCTTGTAGATATGAGCCGACAATGAAAGATGAGCAATTGTTGTTTTTTCTGTTAAAGGGCATGACGTCAGCCTTACTATGCAACATTCCCCCTTTGACAACTCATCCCATAATGCTCAATCTCCAAGACAGAGACTTACCAGACTAATTAGTGGTGACAGTGCAATAGGTGATCAGACAGCCACTCCAAGAAGGTACTTACATTTGAATATGATTTATTCTATGTTATTAAATTATTGTGCTGAACTGCAAGACATCAAGAATGTTCACTTAAATTACTAATAAATGTTCATCTATTTGAATTCAGGAACTCCCCAAGTGTAACACAACCTTATTCACCAAGAAAAGAAGACCCAACACATTCCTTAGAGGTGTCAGATCTAGAGAATGAACTCTCATACAGTCAAATGGTAAGTTTTAGCCAATAAATGTATCAATGAACAATGAAATAGAAATTGCTGTTCCCAGTTCCAGCCTTACATGGGTACAGTGTATGACAAATATAACAACTGCAACATGTAAGGCTGTCTCTGTGACTAAGCCTTCAACAGTTCTGTACAATATGTATTTCGTAGGTGCTTTTCTATTGTACATGTAATTTTGAATGCAGGAGTAGGTGATTCCTGGGTACCATTCCACCAAGTTGAGGACATGAGAATGTCAGTCTGGATTCCAGCCTTATTTGTGTACAGTGCGTGATATAAACTGCAACTGCAACATGTAAGGCTGTTTTCCTGAGAAGACACTGCTACAATCATACCGCCTTGGATGGGATACTGTTCTTTCCCTCAAAGATTGTGCATACAGTAGAGGAAATATGTTATATACCTATTGATTATTTAAAATTTGCCAAATTTTTTTGACTATTCACTTTACTTTTCGTGAAACTGCATATATATACTATTGTTGCAAAATAAGAGCGATGGCATAATTCAATTTTGCTCTGTTTTCCAGAAGTCCAGACTTTCCAAGTCTCATTCCCCTGCCAATGTCATGGTGGTAGATGCAAGTCGTAGGACCATATCCCCTGATAAATCTGAAGTTGATATTGTCACAGGCTATGAACACAGTCCTGTCAAGGTGGTTTGCCATACTCCAGGAGTAGTACAATCAACTGAATCAAGCCTCAGGTACATAATGGCAATAGTCAATCCAAGTAAACAAATTGAATCAAATTTGATCGCCATTGACTAGTAAGTTCATGCTGAATTAAAGGTAAATGAAAAAGTCAATCAAGAGTACCATTTATCAACTACCAACTTTTTTTCTATAATTTTTCTGAAACCTGTCTAAAAGAGGTCTTATTTTTTCAGGAACAGTGGTAGCGTTCAAGCAGCTTCTACCGTTGCAGTGGATCATCCTCCTAGTAGTATAATACTCAGTGGTACAGATATAACAGACCCAAGTCTGAAGAAACCACCTGATAGATTTAAATCTCCCATGGTAGTCCGTGAAAGTACAATAGCTGGGAGTAGTAATGTTGACCCATCTTCACTGTCTAAATCTGTAAATGTTGCCCATACAAATGATAAACTGGAGGAGACAACACTTCAACACAGACAACCACAGCAGCCCAAGAGAATCATAGGGGATGGCAAAAAATTATCCCCAACAGAAAATCAGGAGTCTGTGACTGGATATACCTCACACAGACCAAAGTTAGTATCATCCTTTGTCCTCTGGTATTTGACTCATTTTGTCATTTAGCTTGTCAGTTAGTTTAATGTCTGAAAATCAATGATATCGATATGAGTACTGATAAGAGGCCCCATGTAAGTAGAGAAATCAGTCTATCTGATCGTGTCAGTAAAGATATGGATTTCAACCTGTAACCTGCCCATATGTTACCTAACTCTGCTAATAAATACTCTGTATGCTTTGTAGAATAATGTCAAAGACAATGGATACCAGTCACGACAAGAAGAAACGAAGGAAGATGAAAGGAACAGTGATTCCATCCAGGTTTAAACAGAGTGCTGAAACAGTGAAAATTGCAGGCACTTCTAAAATGACCGATAAGGTATAGCATTCATATAATCAGAGATCACGGTAGAAGTTCGCCATTCGCCAATCGCGAATTTTCGAAAGAGGTGGCGAAAAATATGTAAAGGTATTTCGCAGTTATGGCGAATTAGAGGTGTCACGGTTTCCCGATATTGGACCGAATTTCGGTCCAGATGCTTCGGTTCGGGACATGGGACAGAAAGGGTTAATATCGGTACATAGATTCCTTCCCTAAAATGCATAAAAACGTGTATAAATAGCGAGGAACACCTCCGATTTCGTTCTGAAAAATTAAATATTTTCACTTACCTCGTACCTAGATTACACTTCTTTGCATTGAAAAGTGTTATTAACGGACCCGCGATTTCAGGTAGATGGTAATGCTTGTTCGTAAATTTCTTCATCGTCGTTCGCAAATCGAGTGCATTATCAGTATGCCGGATGTAGGAAAGAAATTGAAAAATCGAGCCGGCATCTAAGTCGAAAAAGTCGGCAGTTTGGAAGTATTTTGGGACTCCGATATCACAAGGTAAACGAATTGGTGATATTACACCGTGCAGACTATGTGAAATGCCGATAACATTCGCGGCAGATGCTTTACATTCAATTTTAATTGACGTTTTTTATTTCTGAATATGATTTTGAAAAGTGAAAGTGAAACTGAAAGTGAAACTGTCATCATCAGACATTGCATAATGTTCCCTTTTTTACGGTTTTTCAAAATGGCTAATTCATATTTTGGTTGGCGAAAATTTTTTGGGAAGATTTAGCCACAATGGCTAACAAGTTTTTTCAACTATCATGATCTCTGATATAATTAGTGTAGATAACTCAAGACAACATCATATGTTTCTCAAGAGGGATTTAGCAGTTGACTGAAGTGTGACACTGCATTAAATGTACAGTACAAATGTATAATGAGTGGATGTACGCGGTGCTCCGCGGTTCTAGGGCCACGGTCAGTACGTTCGGTTTGAAAAAACTCTGATGTTCGGTTTTTAACGGTTCATTAATTCAGAAAAAAGTGCCGTTCGCTAAAGTTGAGGAAGATGAATCTCGAAACGAGAGGTGAAGATTTCGGCTTTCTAAACGCTCCAAAGTTGTATAAGGCCCACTGTTGGGTTATTTTGGATTTCCAACGAGAGATGGTGTTCCTCTCCCGGAAAGAATGATATGCCGGCTTTGCAAAATCGCTATGGTATATGAGAAAGGTACGTGTGAAAAAATGTGAAAATTTGCTGACTGCTAAGAACCCAACCGAAAAGATAAAAACCGTGAACCAAACCGAGGAATTATGAAACCGTGAGAGCCCTACTCAATATAGAAGTATTATTTTACTTTATAAATGATATAACTGAATGAGATGTCACACATACTTTTGAAGTAGCTGCATTTTTTTATAATCAAGATTTTCATTTCAGTCTTCACTTGAGCTGACTACTAACTTGCGAGCCTCGAGATTAGACTCATCTGGCCCGAAACGCCCTGGATCTGCAAGGAAAAAGCCAGCTGCTTCAGAGTTTCATGCTACTCCAATGGTTAGAGGCTCTAGCCAAGTTGGTGGTAAGACATCCACCCCTACAGCAAATGTGTCTTTGTTCCCTGGCCAGGATGTATCTGCCATTGTGCCAGATAATCTCTCACTCTTGCCAAATACCAGTCAAGGTGAGTTCTGTAGTTTGATAATTTGGGAATTATTCCTTTGAAAAACATTAAAATGATTTGTGCGTCACATGTGTTCTGTCTATACTAATTTAACTTTATATGAGTTACAATATGAATGTTTCGCAAAACTGATAATAATGCATGGTAGTACTTTGGATTGGTTAGTTTTGTTACAAATGCAGGGGTTTCATTAGCATTAGGCAGTTTTCAACCATTCTTTTCACAAAATCACCTGTTTTTAGGGACTTTTCAACTTTTCCATGTTAAATTTATGGTTTCCATTAATTTTGCCTGTTGTTTTCATTTATTTAACCAGTTCTGAGAAATTCTACTGAAACCTCTGATAATGTAACTCCAATGTTTAAAACTGTGTAACAAACTTGCAAATCTGAGCTTTTAGATTTGTTGGAATTTGATTCTTTGAACTTTTCTGTAATCTGTGAACAATTCTAATTTGTTTGATTTTGTATTTGCTATATGGTCATGTTGTTTTCATTTCAAGATATATCCCACATTGAAAGACCAGCTAGTCATAAGAAAGTGGCCAGTAAAACACTAGCTCGCACAAAACAACGAGATATTAGTCAATCAAGACCCAGGGAAGCAATAGAATCTCATTCTCAAGGAACTCCAAAGAAGGTATATTATTTAAATAATGATGATATACATTGTATATGAATTTATTTGAGCAAATATTGAGATATTGGAGAATCTTAAAGTGTTATATTGACGCTATAAGACGCTATATTGTGGCAATTCACAAATTTGATCGAAATTGGGATTTCATATGAAACATCATCACAAGAGCTCAATACATACACAGAATTAGCGACAATGAAATCCCATAAAATGAGGACCAAGTGATTATACAGTTACAGCGAAGGTTATGTCTGCCATTTGTGACAACAGCATCTGACTTTTACGTTGTCAGGCTACTCCGGTGTGAGTGTAAAAAGGATGTTGTATGGTTTTAGAAGACAAACTGGTGAGATGGGTATATATTTTGATGGTTTAATAATTGAACCACTTAGAATATGTTAAGTAAAAAGAAATCTATATGGAATGATTTTTAACTTAATTTTGAATGCTTATTCATGACCATCAAGATTATTTTATGCATATCTAGTCTGTTGGCAATGCTAAGAAGAAATACTGTACATGAATTCTGTATTTCATCAGTTCAGGGTTGAGAGAAACAGCAGTTGCAAATTGGGATGTAATTCTGTATTTTCCCTTTTTTTTCATGAGCGAATTTTTAATTAACCGCCCTTTTCTTTTCTTAAAATATTCAAAAGTTTCACAATTTCTCTTATAAATTCAATATTTTATTTCAGAGTGCTCCAAAAGGTGCAAGTATGGAAGTTGTGCAGCAGCATTTGGATGTTACCTATGCACGTTATCTACAGATGCTTTATTTAGACTCCAAAGCTAAGAAAGTCTTCCAAGAGCAGGAAAAAGAAGTGATGGTATGTATTGGAATACTACACTCTGCTTTATATTAGATTTTGATGTAATATATATTTTTGTATAAATGGCTCAATTATATTTTTTAAAGAGATCCAATTTACTGTGAAACCAAAATTATAACCACTGTTTTGATTCTTCTGATTTTCTCTGTAGTTTTTATTATTACCAATATCTTGAGTTATTTTGATGAATTTTTCATTTTATATCTGTTGATAGCAATTGCAACGAAATCCTTGTTATTCTTAATGTTACATTCTAGGCTCAGTTATATGCTCTATGGGAAGAGGTGGAGGCTTTGAGAAGAAAGGACACGTCTCTGGACATTGAACTCACCAAACTGAAACATTCTAATGCTCTGGATGAACAGCTTGAAATACAGGTAGGCTTACCTATAACCTAAGATAAACAATTTAATTATTGAACTTAGGCTATGGAATCCCCATTTGTCTGTCATGTCTGCCCATCAATATTTTTTTGTCAAATAAGAACTGCCTATCAATGCTCATATTCATTTTATAGAGTTCATACAGGACTTATTTTTGAGAAAACAGGTTTTTTTTCATTAAAATATCACATTTTAGGTCATCACCAGAAGTGGTGATATTATTGTCTCCTACTTTTATATAGATGGCAGTCAGCATTCACCATTTGGTGTCTGTAATAAGTGGCAGGTGGTGACATTTTGCATGTTAATGCTCAAATAAAAGTGTTCTTCCCATACACTTAATTTCATGTCCTGTTTGAGTTAGTTTCATCCCTGCCAGGAATGTCATTTGATTTGATCTCGGAGCACTTGATTTTATCAATTTATTTGTTATTTTCTAGCAAAGTGGTCTAGGCCCAGTGACTGCCACCATTCCAAAATTGCGACAAGAATATGGCACCTTAGCACAAGCCCTGGATACTACCAGACACCAGATACCCCTACGAGGCATTCAAGTCCCTGATAATGAGGAGGCATTTGATGGTAATTCAATTCATATTGTTCAGTTCGAGGCAGTTAAAATTGCGTTGATTAAACCTAGGAAATAATATATATATATAGAAATAATATGACCACAGTGCAAAACATTTCAATATTTATTACTAATAGTTTGGCCAAAGAAAATTGGTGGTCTCTTGTGTTTTGATGCTTTTCTGACATGTTATTTTCTAAAATAAAAAAAGATAATTTGTTTACTTATTATATCAAATTTAATTTGAATACTCTGAATTTCCATTGGTTTCAATTTGTACTCGATGGAATAAGTAGAATTATTTTCCAGACATGTGACATTGTGTGTTTACAGTAGGGGTTAACCGCGGTACGCGGTTACCGCGGTTAATGATGCTAGGACGGTATTTTCGGTTCATGAATATGAGATTCGGTTCATCCACGGTTCGAGGAAAAATTGAAAAATAAAATTTTTTAGTCTTTAATATTCTCTCTTTCGTTCGACATGAACTTATTCTTCATGAATATATTCCTTAAAAACATGTTTATAGCAATAGAAAACATTCAATTCCTACCTTAGATGTGAAACAGATCGCTCACAAATCGATAGACAAGTAATTGTTTACATTTTTGTGACATTTAAACAGACCGGAAGTTGGTCTCGCCAGATTACGCTATTCATAGTATGATTAATTTTGCTTCGTGGAGGTGTTTTGTCTGTTATAATAAGTTTGTTTTTAATCAATATTATTTAAAAAATACTACAATTACAGAAATTATAACATTACTAATGTCTTTGTTAAAAACTTGAAACATATTTGTGTTTAAATCTCCCGCACAATCGCAGCGCCATCTGTGCTGATTCAGCATGACTGCTTTGACAGACTACAAGAATTGCGAGATTAAATCTCAATTATTTAAATACAAAATCAACGTTTGGAATGGGTAATTGTATGAGTCTACACTTTCTCCCTCTTTCTGAACTCTCATATTGAATTGGGCACGCTCGTAAATAATGTTCCTTCTGCTGACAAAATGTGCGTCAAATTTGTCCATAACCTGTTCATAACTCGGCTCACCTTCAAATTCGAACGATTGATATACGTCCTCCGCTTGGGCTCCCATTATATATATCAACATGTTGATCTGCTTTGGCTCTGGCTGTTTATCCAAACCAGCAGCTAAGCGGTATCGCTCAAACCGTCTCTTCCATTTAGGCCAATTTTGTGATTTTGTAATACAGTATCAGAAAAGTCAAAGCCATCTGGAGGTTGAATTGGGGCTGATAATAATGATACAGGTTGTTGCGCATTTTCCAGTTGTTGCACGTTTTCTTGTACTTGCGCCATTTTGAATCTCAATCAAAATCAAATGTCACTTTCTATTTCAGAAAATATTTACACATAAATATCTACCTCGAAACGTTAGAATGTCCAGTAGATTCAGCTTTCTGTGAGTTCTGTGTATCCTGTAGTATCTGACACCATATATGATTAGCGCACATAACATCTAAATGTCTGGTTTATCTGTGGGGAGCATATATTATGTTATTGTCACAGTAATCAGAGGGCAATGTATCAATATGCAGAATCTGTAGGGAGATCATAAAGTATCTTCATGGTGAGAAAAATATTTTCTTAGGCTAAATTTTTTCCTCAAGTTAAGTTAAGACATAGGTCTGGGAAAATGTATAATAAAAAAGATGAGTTGAATACACCAAGTAAAGAGATCTCTTTACTTGGTGTATTCGACTCGATCTTTATATGCATGTTCCCGGGGCTATGTTACTGCTTGTGCTACATGTAGATCTCAGCTCTTAAAATACAATCAAGGACAGAAAAATCTAAAGTTTAAAATTTAAAGTTGGCCACTAGACCAATAAACTTTGCTTTGTCAAGTCAATTTAATAAAAAAGGATAGTGGGACCAGGATAGAAGATGGCCAACATGGGCAAGGCTAGATAGAAAGCTAAAACCTGTTTCTTTATGAGCTGTCTTTACTATTTTATAAGGAAATATTACCATTTTACGAGACCCGCGAGAACCGTGAAAGAACCGAACCGTGAACCTAAAAACCGTGACCGAACCGAACCGTTGGAATTTTGAACCGTTTGACCCCTAGTTTACAGTGTGGCAAATAAGAGGTCGCCAAACACCAAAAAGAGGGAGTGAAAAACATTTGGCGATAGAAGTTGCGATCTATCTCGACAATTTTGGCGATGTTAGATCTATAAACTTCACAGTTTTTATCCCCGACATTCTTGAAAAATGAAGTTTCATAGTTGATCCTATTCCCATTCACAAAGCTTTTTATTCTACCTAAAACATGATCAGAATAGAAGAACATAAAGCCACCTACCTTAGAGAAGAACAATTTGAAGTAAAATAGCCAGATAATCATCAGTATTTAGAAAAAAACACTGAAAAATCATCTAAATTTTGCCGTGAGCAGGCAGGAAGTTAGCCTACTCGGAGGTAACAATTTTGGTATTGTATCTGTATTGATCGCACTGCCATCTTTATAACTTATGAAAAACTGTTGAAGTAAAAATTCATTTATAACAACCAGATACCTGTCTAGAACTCCTTGCACATTTGATTCCTTTATTTGTTTATCCTCATTAGACTAAAAAAAGTTCATGATGTTCATTTTAAAGAGGTTCAATTCAAAAGATGCTACATTTTCAAAATATTGATCTCTCCAAACTCTGAAATAAAAGCTTCTTTGATGATACATACTCTAGCAGTATAGCCTAATAACACAATTTTCTTCATCTATATTGTTAGTACATACAACTCTAGTACAGACATTTGATCAGCATGCTCTGTCTAATTTACCCTCAAAAAATTATGAGTAAGATTTTTCCAACCTACCTACCTGCCTACCCCAAATCTGAAATTTCATTGATCAGGAAACAGACATGTGTGGCCTTTCCACTTATTTTAAGCAGTTTAATTTACCATTCGCAATTCATGCACAGTTTAAGATGAGGGCAAAATTTATGCTGACTAGACAAAATTATGGCCAGACGAAAAATATTTTGGCGAGAGTGTTTCAAATGTCTCTGGACAAATTTGGCTATAGTGAAAAAATCCTTATTTGCCAGACTGTGTTTAGAAATGTTTTGACATTATGATAGAGACATGTTGTGACATTGTATTTCAGAGATGCTGTTGTCATCTCTCAATGAAAGTGAACAGCTACTTGGTGAGTTGAGTGTGATGCACAGGGAAAAACAACCTAAAGTTACTACATTTGCTAACACATTATCAGCACTCCAGAAGTCTGTAGAGGAAGAAGACAAAGAACTGAAGAGGTGAGATATTTGGATGTTCATTGATATTTTGACTTAAGTTTACAATTTCAATTTTTTGTATTTAAAAAAGCTCAAACCCTCCTCCCTTGTTTAGTTGTTACGGACAGGGTGCATGTTCGGAATTTTTCTGCATTCCTCAATTGAGCCACATGTTTTGTTTTGTTTTCAAATAGGAATCACTCCTTCCCCACATTGTCTACATCTGTCAGTTTTGCACAAAGAGTACACGTATATGCCTAGAAAATACTGGTGAAAAGATTTTTATCATCAAATGTATAAAATAATTTTCTTGTTTTTATTTTTTTACATTTTACAAAACAAATCTTCTCACCAGTCTTTTCTAGGTACATAAGTGCACTCTTTGTGCAAAACTAAAGGATGTACATAATGTGAAGAAGGAGTGATTCATATTTGAAAAATAACATGTGACTCAATTGAGGATTGCATCAAAATTCCAAACATGCACCCTGACCTAAATTAATGTCAACATGAAAGATGAATTAATGGCACACTGAATTTCAATCAGTATTGCCATGGTAGTACGTACGGCTGGTAAATGAAAATCTTACAAAATAAGTCAAAATTGAAGCACTCATAAAGTGTTCAATTTTCCAACAAATTATAGAAAATATGTATTTTTTGTCATACAGTTATTAATTTGTTGAAATATTTTAATAAATCATGAAATGTTTGAAAAAGAATCATGGAAGAAATTTTGATAAAAATTCCCAACTCATCAATTTATTTATCAATGCTTGCAATGCAACCAATCAAGTTCTCAGATTTTTGAAAGACCTCCTTTGATTTAACCATCTAATGGAGCTGTCACACTAAGGGCATGTGGGCTCACCATTCGCCACCATGTGAATACTTTGGGGCAGACTGTGGGGCACTGCATGGATACACACAAAACCGAAATTAGCCACATAGTGGCGAATGTTGAGCCCAGATGGCTAATGTGACAGCGACTTTACTTATAGTTGAGACCGATGCTTTACCCATTGTAGTGATTCATGGAAGACTATGCCATGGAAGTTTGAATTTCAATATTTGAAATATGAACTCGGGCCTTTTACCCACCAGTTTCATTTGTGAGAATATTTTGAAATGATCAATTGAATTTCGGTTTGACTTGGCCCCTGAAAAATATTTATTGAAATATTCTTGTTCTCAAGATTATATAACTTTTGATGCAGTTAAATCCTTATGAAAAGTGATTGAAACCAAGTTATTCATGATGGCTACAGACTGTGATATCATTAATTCATTATAGAGTAAAAAATATTCATTGGAGAACAGGAATAATTCAAAAGTGATGAAATTTTAAATTGCAATATTATTATTATAATACCGAAATATCTAAAAAAAATCTCACATTCTATAGATGTCTCACCTGTCAGTATAGAAATTCTAACAGTTTTTCGTGTCTTTCAGGTTAACAGAACTGCTGTCTGCTGCAAAAACTCTATCAACTCGAGAAAGCTCATTGAAAATACAACACTTCCAGAATGAAATCTAAAAGATTCAACGAGTTTCCTTGATGCTGTAGGTTAGGAAGTGAAATGTTGCCAAAAATCAAAATGTATGAACTATGCAGATATTTGTTGACTTGTTCTACGATTGTGAAACCTGGAGACAATAACATTCTGCTTGATTTGTATACTATTTCAAATGGTGCTCATTAGTGTAGAGTTTGCACAATCATGTTGCTTTGTATACTATCACATTTCTTGGTGTATTATCAAGAGTCCTTGTGTACAATCACACTGCTTGTACAAGCATAGTGCTTGGGTGTACAATCATGGTGCTTGTACAGTTCTGGTGTTCAACCAATAAATGAAGGTGTTTGTATTTATTATTAATTTATCTCAACCACGATAGGTATTTAATTGCTTGAGAAATCCAAGGCCATTTCAACTACGTCTGACTGGAAGTATTTTGACATTTACATGCTGAGTAATTTTGTAGAGAATACTTTTGCAAAATTCTATCATGATTGATATTAGTTGGCAGAAATACTTGGAAGGGCTCTTTTATTTCTCACAGCTCCTAGTCAACTTAGCTGTATATAATCATTATATATGTAAGTCACAGGAACAAGTAAGATCTATACAAATTACAATTTATGATTAGACAATCCGGGAAATGCATGGCAAAGTGACCCTGTCGTACCTTATTATATGTATGCTAGTGTTAGTGTGACATTGCTCATTTATTCTGTCACCATCACAAGTGGCGACGTATTGTTATAGTCTCCAATTGTTTTTGTGGATGGTATTCAGCGGTCAGTGTCTGTAACAAATGGCAGGTGGTGACATTTTGCATGTTCATACCTTGTATTCGTCATGTAACTGGTTTGTGATAGATTCTTATTTGTTCTAAGTGAGTGTTCATGAGAAATTCTATGAGGGATAACCAAGTCTAATCACACCTCGAATCTCTGATTAGTACTTGATTATTCAGTAGGGAGCTAGTCTTGTATTGATCAATTTCAGTACATATTGTTTAATGTATTGATGTGTGTAACTGGAGCTTTTAAGTTCAAATTGAAGTTGGGTATGTAACTAAACAACTAAACAAAATAAAGACCAAATAGTGCAGATCTTCAAAAATTAATAGCCACTAAATTTAAAATCACGAAATTTAATATTGTCCAAGATTAGTGGGAGTACAGTACAGGAGCACAGTACAAAATACAATATGAACATTCATTAAGGGGGAGAGGTCAATGATTTTTTTTTTGTTAGGGAGGGTTGTTAATTTTTTTTTATATTCAATTGAAAGATAAATCAACATTTAAAATTTCATGAGATGAGGGACAGACCAAAATGAAATTAAGTTCATTTTTCATGACCATTTTACTTAATTTTAGATAAATATTTTAGTTTGAATTTGTAAGCTTGGTGTATTATGTGATATTTAATCCGCCCAGGGCTGTTTAAGGTGAAGTCAACATTGCACTGACTTGACTCTTTTACAGCCAAGTGGCACTGTCTGATGCTTAATTTGCAAATCACAATTTCACAGGGATATTTAAGACCATGGAGAATCAAAAACGAGGGGCTATATAAACCCACAGATACTGCCTCTCCCATAATTTATCCAAAGTTTGATCAAGGGACAATGTAAAAAAATTTGATTTCATAATCCTAATTTCATTTCAAATTGTTGAATAGGCTAATTACAGGAAATTTTATGAACAAAACTGAGCATTCAACCTCCCTAAGTGTAAGCTTGTTCATTTTCTCCTTGGTTCTTTTAAATCCGAGTGGGTGTTCAGGTGATTTTGGAAAATATATACCATTTTTGTTGTCTCTTTGCAATTGTGCTTGAAGTGGAATCTGATGAATCAATTACTTCAAGAACAATAGCAGAGTTTGATGTGTTAATGAAAATTAACTGTACATATTGTCATAGGGGTGTACAAGTCAGCTGTGACGATTGTTTCTACTTTCGAATAATTTGCATCAAACCCATCCCAACTTTTGCACACTGTTGTGAGAGAGCTGGGAGAGGACCAAGTAATATATATGCACAATGACCGAAGGGAAAGGATTAAATCTACTGAAAACATGATTTTTCAGTTTCTTCATGCCAAACCGTCCTTATAGTTGTTCTTGTACATCCTATGTGACCAGCTGATTCCAATTGTGTCTGCATGTAGTTGTGTCTGTAGAATTATCTTGGAAGATGCTAACATTGACAACTTCAGCAAGAGTTGCTGCTTGGTTGGTGCCTTTCTTATCTTGAAGTAACCAGTTTGGGGAGTTGATAATGTAACAAGAGTTACTGCTTGGTTGGTACCTTTCTCATCTTGAAGTAACCACTTTGGGAAGTTGATAATTTAGCGGATTCCAGTAATGTGAGAGAAGTTTGTCATGAATGATTGTTGTGAGTGAATGGAATTTTTACTGGGGTGGTCAAGATTATAGCACAGAAGTGCAACCATTAAAAAACTACTCTGAATAAAGCAACTGTTGTAGAATATCAATCGTGGAAAGAGCATTTTACAATCCCCTTCTCCATTGCTGGGTATTATACAGTGTTGCTGAACAAATTCAAGATAAAAAGTAATTTCTAAATTGTTCAATTACAAGAACCATACCTTCTTACCATTTTCCCATTTAGTCCATCCTGTCTTTGAAAACCTTGCACGTTTCCTAAATGAATATATATATTGCACTGTATGTTTGTAATGCTTGTTTACCCGGTGTGTATTGCTCAATTACACGCGTGGTATGCATGGGTTTGTGTTAATGTATGACTAGGAACCATTGATCTCTTACTGGAAGAGATTAGATAAAACAGTACAACTCACAAAATAATTATGATGCCACAACTGTTTAAACAGAATTTTTTTTAGGAAGGTTGATACATTAAAATCGACAGTTCCTTGGGGTTTTTATATTACCATAAATATCTATCAAAAATGTCTCCAATTAGACATTCAAACCAAATTAGTAGAACTTTCGATATAGTATTTGAATATATCAACTGTTTTATCTGTTTTCTTCAGTGTTCATTGCAGTATCTGAACCATGTATGTGTGTATTGTTAATGTATAGCACTGTATGCAAGATGCAACATTTTGTATGTTTGGGTGTGCGGAATGTTGGTTAACAACACAGGAGGTCTGCCATCAGAACCATCATTCATCTGTGCTTGTACGAAGAACCTCCTGTGTGTAGTATGTAAAACTAGTTAGTGTTATACGACTAAAATGGTAGTAAACAATTTTTTAGATTTCTTGGTGTCATTTTTTGATACTTTTTGTTGTGAGTTTCAAGATTTATTCGCTGCTCAAAAATCATGTCATTTGAAGAAAAGTCCTACTTTTTCTAAGAATATAAATTCTGCTAATTGTGTATGCAGCAGTATAATGTAATCCAGTGATAAACAAAATATGATCTTGCAATGTACAATGTAATTCAGCTCATGTTGCCATGGGCTAAAGTATGTAGTTTGGAATTGTTCAATTCAGAGTCTTTTAGTATTTACCTATTTAGAAGTGATGCAATTATCAGTCAGCGGTAATGACACAAAATGACTAGATGCATAATAATTTCCCAACAGGATTATATGTAATATAAAAATTTACCAGTTCATTTTCTTATTTAAAAAAGTGTCACGTAAAAGTTACTTGGTAAGGGAATGGCCAAGAGGCATTGCCACTAACTGATAGTGCTCATCATATTCACTTCCAGTGAGGCTAATACTAATAGGGTGAAATGTCATAGTAATACATCTATAGCAATGTTGTATGGTGCTTATGTAGTGTAATAATAAAAGCTTGTTCAGTAATGATGCAAAAATGAACATTTTTCAACTGCCAAATTTTGATACTCATGATCATGTGTTAAAGTAATGTAAACCACTTTATTTTACAAAAGAAGATGCAAGATTCTCTGAGATTTATAGTCAGTTTGTAGTAAAATTGCCTCGAAAAGCTAATAGAAATAGAATTAGAAACAATTTGTGTTTTGTTTATTTATTTATTTTGCAGGACCCCATTGATTGAGTAGCAAATTCAAACATTTGAAGTTTTATGTAGCTCTAAATCGTTCACAAGATATTAATAAAAAAAAGTCTTTCCACAAATAAAACAATAGATTCATTATCCCATAGTCGAGGTCTAATCCATAATATTATTTATGATATTTTGCAAATGTGTGGGAAAAGGTGATACTTGTGGAATACTGAGAATATTCCACATATATTGAATTTTTTCACATTTTTCAAAACTCCAGCCAACATGGCCAATGTGACATATTGTAACATGATTAAGGAATAAATAATGATAGGCCATTCAATACGGTGAAATTCAGTACCGGTTGGACAGAATGTTGTACAAAGCACGAACCGAAGGTTACTGCATTTGTACTGACATTCTGTCCAACGAGTGTAGAATTTCACCATATTGAATGGCCTAACATCATTTATTTCGATTCAAACATGAAAATTAAAACCTTGTTCAGTGTATTGGGGATTGAAGTCTATGAAATAACCAAACTTAATTATTTTCACCATTCCCAGGTATGACGTCATCATACAACACAACACATAGATTCCTGGAACCAGATTGAATAGAACATGGTCATGCATCTATGGAGAAATAGAGAATGTTCATTATTGGCTATGCTGCATTCTGATTGGTTGAGAAATTCAATTAAATTTCATGTCATGTATTGCATGCAATGAATGAATGTTCATTTGAAATGCTTTGTTTAGTATACAAGTGAACTAAGGAATGGGAATTACTGACCCCCTGGGCAGAGGATTGGCCCAAATGGTTCCAACTCAATATTTATAATCTCCAAGCAATTTGTTTAGTGCTGATTTCTATGGCATTGTTTGCAGGAATGAACTGCAAGGCCAATTTCATAGTGACCTTGACTGATATTGATGGCAACAGTGAAAATGTCTCTATTTTCTGACATCTTAATTAACTAGAAATTGTTAATCAGCAATCCAAAAGATTTGAATAATATCCTAAAACTCAGAATTTATGAATTTAATGTCTTACAAGCTGTTGTTAAAGCTGCATGTTGTGTATTCACTTTGAATCAGAGTAAAGCTGCCTGATCACTGTCACCGTAAATGGCAATCACTTTTCACGGATGACGTTAAATTGGAAAAACAAGTTGTCTTTTGGACAATGATCTGAACAATCTCAGTTGTCTACGCCGCACGACACAAGAATCTTTAAGAAGAATTCATCACAATATCACCATCTTTTAAAACTAGAGGATTTCATTTTTTGTATCGCATAAAACATAA